ATCTTAATCTTAATTAATTTATATAGCAAAAACTGTAATTAAAATTACACAATGCTAGTATAAATTTCGTTGGGTTAAATAATAGTATTCTGTATTATATTTATATAGCGCGAAAATAAAACCTGCGCGAAATATAATACGTTTAGAGTATGTACTTTGGGTTTTATAAAAGAACAATGTTTTCAATGGCTCACATTATTCACGGCACAGCTTTATCCACTCCACCATACAACACATTACATGGAAAATGGAACAACAAATGAATTCGTTTGACAACAATATTATGTATTGGAAATTAGCCAAAAGCATTCCTTAATTTTCTTCTAATTGTATGTTCTCCACAGAGACTATACAAATTGTATCTCACACAAAAACATGTACTATTGTATGGAATACTGTTAGGGGCGATCTCGACCTCTGGAAACAAGCTAAAAATGCCAAAAGTGCGAGAATGACAGATAGCGAGAACGCGAGATTAGGCCAAAATCTTGCGGTCGCGCGATCTCGCATTCTCGTGTTTTTAGTACATAGAAATTTTTGTTTAAATGTCGACAACGCGAGAATGCGACATGTGTACATGCTGTCAAATCTCGCTAGATCAACATGTCAACGAAGGCCACAAAAACACGAAGTCGCAAGAAAGCGAGAAGGCGACATTTCAATTTCTCACATTGTTACAGCTGTTCAAAACAAACAGATCGTGAGAATCTGTGCAGGGTTAAATGTCGCATATAATGTGTTTAATAGTCATGTAACAAAGCCCAGCTTTATGATGGAAGAAAGAACAACGTCGGGCAGATCGGACATTGTTTTCAATTACAGCTTGTGAGTGAAGCCAAATGGGCTATCTTTTCGTTCTGAAGGGTGATAACTCGCCGTTTGAAATGTTTTAAGCGACGGCCAAACTTCTCACTTCCGGTTTGGTTCCGACTCAGTGTGTGCTGCGACAGCTTACTACATGTAAAGACGTTGTTGTTCTGCTGCTCCATCACTGAAAAACGAATGTCAAATACTAATACTCAACTGTGAGTATAATGATGGCTTATTGACTGTACTCGTGAATTACATTTGCTAGCACATGGGCGCCATGTCGTAAAAGTACGCACGCGCTTTGAGGGAGCTGTTATTTACTTCCGCCTCATGGACCATTGATTTAGCTATCAAGTTACCTTATCTTTGTCGCAATACATTACAACGAGGAAAAAAACTTTAACTGACACGTTTTTGCGGTCAAATTACACCTTTTTAATCTACACACAGGAACGTAGCGTCTACTATTTCTCACATGAAACCACATAGGATCTCCTACGTAGGACTTAGTATATCCTACGAAGGAGATAATCAGACTAAAAAAAATTCATAGTTGCCCTACTACGCTTCCGTACAATCCTGCTTGTATTTGTTGTTTTTTTCAGCTGCGAGTGTTTTGCCACTCAAGACCCTTACGACACTATCAACTGAATATTACTTGATTGTCTTCACCGTTATTCTGCATATCCCGGATTGGAATAGATTTTCAGCATTCCATGTTTGTCAACTAGAGGGACCTTGTGATACGGATCTCTTCTCTTATACGTTAATTCCTGTCAGTGTAGCCATATTGCATAGATCAATGTCAAAGATGTGAATTGATGATTTGTAGATGGTTGTCTTATGGCAACAATGGCGATGCGGTTTGAAATGACCAATATAAACCATAACAATTAAACTGGTTTCATGATGAAATCCTTCAGTTCATCCCCATGAAACATAAAAGCACAGCTTACAGTTAAGAGTATTATATGTCAAAGAAATACTGTGACCTACGTTTTGAGTAGACGTCTTTTATGGCTGCTTCATTTTTCTATGTCGACGACATATTTTAGGTCCCTCCTGGTTGATCATCTTAAAAACAAAACAGAGTAAAGATAATATTCAATGTCATTTGTGTGGGATTATAACTCAGGTGGTGAGATGTTTGAATTGTACAGGTTTACAGGTGAAAATTTATACCGAGGATTTTCCTGAAAGCTGACTTATTTTGGAGGTTCTTGTCAAAGAGTCTCACAGCAAAGCGTTAGAAAACAACGGAACACTCTTGCTGAGGAATATTACTTTTCATTAAACGAAGGAAAGGTTGTGGTTACCGTTAACTCAACAACACCCTCAACACGAACCTGAAGCAGTCGTATAATCACTTCCAAACGCGCCTACAATTTATTGCCAGGGCTTATTGTGGGATTTTGTTTTCAACAACACTCGGTAACAATATACCCGGCAATATGATGGAGGTCTGTAAATAAACCACTGGATCAGACAATCCAGTGCTTGACATCTTGGGTATTGTACTGAGATACGACGACAACCATCAGCCAAGTCAGCGAACCTGACCACCCGATCCAAGATGGCGAATTATGTGAATTATTTAGGTCAACACTTCCGGTAGCTGCGGTATCTGTGCTGCTCACTATAAGCTGAACTACTGATTACTCTCCATGCAATTTTTCGCTGATCCGCGGATTTCCGCCGATCTTATTTCAAACTGATCAATCCTGGGAAACGCCTAAGATCTGGGTTCCGTTCCCTACAGGGGTACAATGTGTGAAGGCCAATTCTGGCCCTCGCCGTGATTGCTGAAATCTTGCTAATAACGCGGTGTAAGACCACACTCACTCACTTGGATCATGAGATTCCGATTCTGAACATGTCTCACTAACAACCCTATCATAATATACAGGAATCGGTTCCTGAAACAACATTATTCACATATACCATTCGATTAAGCATTTGTTATGTACTGATTGGGTTGGAATCATTGAGAGGGTACAGATGCAAAACGGATATAAATTCAAACTCTACCAGTCCCGTTTTCAACTCGATGGATTGCTTGGTCGGCTGGTTTGTTGTTTAACCCGCACTCAGCTATATGCTAACTCTATGGCGACGACAGTGATCAACAGCATGAACATCGATCTACGCAACTGGGATACGATGACACCTGTCCACCAAGTCAGCGAGCCTGACCACCTGATCCTGTTAGTCGCCTCTTACGGCAAGCGTGGGTTACTGAAAACCAATTCTAACCCGGATCTTCACGGGTCTGTGCGCAAGTGCATGAATATGTTGTAGACAGTTAAGAGTCCTGGCCCCGATTTCTTGAAACAAACATAAGTTTTTGCTCAAATTTCAAACTCAGTTTGAAACAGCTGATTTTATAACTCAACTGCATTTTTAAAATTAAAAAGCCCAAACAATTCAAGTAATCTATCCACCAAACTCAAATTGTCTACTATGTATGAGTTTAATATCGGTTTCAGTTCACTCTGGGAAATGCATTTTCCTGCATGTTCTCAAATTTGAGTAAAAACTCAGACTTAATTTTGTTGCGAGAAATCGGGGCCTGGTCACTCCTTGACTGAGCGACCCTCGACGGACTAGGTTAGTCCGATCTTACCTTCCCCCTGACAACATGTCATCTCTCCTTTAAGTCAGTTCATTATGCCAGACAGGTAAATGCTGTTTTAACGAATCTAAGTTCAAGGCTGACTTCCAGGATGAGTTTGGAGACGTCAATACAGAGCGCTTAATACACGTCACAGTCAATATCGTCGGGACAACATCAGTGCCCCAGCTAACAATTTCACGTTGTCCCAATGCTATGCATTCGTTGTTACAACGTTAATCTGTGGACTCCCATTTACGTTGTCACGAGTGTAGGGTGACACCCAACAACCTCACTTGACTTCCGCAACATACACGTTACAACCAACAACCTCCCTTGACTTCCGTAACATACAGGTTACACCAAACAACCTCCCTGGACTTCCGTAACATACAGGTTACACCAAACAACCTCCCTTGACTTCGGTAACATACAGGTTACACCCAACAACCACCCTTGACTTCCGTAACAAACAGGTTACACCCAGCAACCTCCCTTGACTTCAGTAACATGCAGGTTACACCCAACATCCTCCCTTGACTTCCGTAACATGCAGGTTACACCCAACAACCCCCCTAGACTTCCGTAACATGCAGGTTACATCCAACAACCTCCCTTGACTTCTGTAACATGCAGGTTACACCCAACAACCTCCCTTGACTTCCGTAACATGCAGGTTACATCCAACAACCTCCCTTGACTTCTGTAACATGCAGGTTACACCCAACAACCTCCCTGGACTTCCGTAACATACAGGTTACACCCAACAACCTCTCTTGACTTCCGTAACATGAAAGTCACATCGACACAACCTCACTATAAATATGTAACAGTTAGAGAACACCCACACAACATCAGGGCAACTACCTCATGTTGGACGGAATTACACAAATGAAGTGGTTCAGTGACATGACTGGTTTTGGCAGGGCTGCCAGTTTGCACGAAGGTAGGTACCCTGTACTTACAGACATGGCACCGTCACCAGGTGGCCACTGTTACAGCAGATATGAGTGTCACGTACGTGTACCCTTCAGTGATATGTCTTAACTCTGATTCAGCTACATCACTGTGTAAAACTGACGTCACTTGATAAAAGGGACCAAGCTAGACGCGCTGCACCACAATGGGGTAGGTCGATATTGTGTCATATGCTCATCCACAGAGACATAATTTTACACGTACTGCACTAACGACTGACTGATTGACTGAGTTTGGTTTTACGCCGCTTTTAGCAATATTCCAGCAACGTCACGACGGGGGACACGAGAAATGGGCTTCACACATTGTACCCATGCGGGGATTCGAACCCGGGTCTTCGGCGTGACGAGCCAACGCTTTAACCATTAGGCTACCGCCCCACTGCACTAACGAACCCATATGGATAGATAAGAGGCAACTAAATGTATCTGGAGATCAGACTGGCTGACTTTGTTGACGGATGTCTTCCTATCCCAGTAGCGTTCATGAATGCTCTATCGCTAAATTACATTGTCCAGACTCGATAATTAACAGACAGGTGGGGTATTGGTTAGGACAAAGTCAGGATACAAACCAACAAACCTCACTAATGAGTGTTGAGGTAGTGAGGCATGAGCGCCATCTGACGAGCCTAGGAACACTTTGGTCATGAGTTATAAAATACCCATGATATCAGAGTCTCCATGTGTAACGCGACGCAGTTACGCTGGACTTTGTATTCCTCGTGTCAAGGTTTTCTCTGATAAGAGCATGAAAACAAGACTGACGTACGTTTACAGTTAGTAATGGGGATTGAAGGTGTGCACTTATATCACAAGAAATCTACGTGTGCGTGTGCCTGGAGCGAAATATTCTCAATTACCACGTTAAACCCCATTTCACCTCACCTCACCTACTCGGGACCACAATTTATACCCACAATAGGACATCTCTTCAATGTAGTCGGGGCGGTGGGGTAGCCTGGTGGTTAAAGCGTTCGCTCGTCACGCCGAAGACCCGGGTTCATTCCCCACATGGGTGCAATGTGTGAAGCTCATTTCTGGTGTCCTCCGCTGTGATATTGCTGGAATACTGCTAAAAACTAAACTCACTCACTCACTTAATGCAGTAATCTTCTCAGTTTTCATGGTATATATGCCCATCGTCATATGAGCTAAATATACTCACGTAATACGTCAAGAGGGCAGCTCTTCAATGTAGTAATCTTGTCTTGTCTTGTCAGAGAAATATAGGAAATAAGATATATTGACGAAGTTGATTCATGTGTTGAAAGGTGCATTTATTATTGTGTGTTTCAATCTCTGGAATACTTTGGGGCAATGGCATATATATGTTGCTGTCTTTAAAGACATATATGATTCTTCGTATATATGTGATTTGGGAATCGTATTTGCTTCCTGGCTTGATTATTGTTACTCTTTTCAGTACAAGGAACCCTGACAGATGACGCAATTTTTGAAGACCTGTGGCCGTATGGCCGGGCTTAGTAGCGCCCTGCTCTTACACGTCATGCACAACGACGGTTAAGCCTAGGTGTTACTACGCCCGACTTAACAGATTCAGGTCGAGGTACAGTGTGCTATTTTTTTTATTTTCGACCGGGAAAAGGCGCGAAACAAAAGAACCCGTTGCATTAAACCGTAAGGCTGCAAGTACCTGCATTTCCGGGCTAATCATTATCACCTCTGATTGTATCCACTAGCTTCAAAATGTCAATTCTCCTGAATCTCTCTCTCTCTCTCTCTCCCTCTTTCTCTCTCTCTCTCTCTCTCTCTCTCTCTAGCGCTCTCTCTCTCTAGCGCTCTCTTTCTCTCTCTCTCTCCCCTCTCTCTCTAGCGCTCTCTCTAGCTCTCTCTCTCTCTCTCTCTAGCGCCTCTCTCTCTCTCTCTCTAGCGCTCTCTGCGCTCTCCTCTAGCGCTCTCTCTCTAGCGCTCTCTCTCTCTCTCTAGCGCTCTCTCTCTCTCTCCTCTCTCTCTAGCGCTCTCTCTCTCTCTCTCTCTCTCTCTCCTCTCTCTCTCTCTCTCTGGCGCTCTCTCTCTCTAGCGCTCTCTCTCTCTCTAGCTCTCTCTCTCTCTCTCTCTAGCGCTCTCTCTCTCTCTCTCTCTCTAGCGCTCTCTCTCTAGCGCTCTCTCTCTAGCGCTCTCTCTCTCTCTCTAGCGCTCTCTCTCTCCTCTCTCTCTCCCGCTCTCTCTCGCGGCTCTCTCTCTCTCTAGCGCGCTCTCTCTCTCTCCCTCTCTCTCTCTCTCTCTCTCTCCGTCCGTCCTTCAGGGGTGACCCTTCATGGTTGTTTTCACCAACGTGAGTGCATTGGTTGTGCAATGCAACCTGACATCCTTAAATCACTAATGATAGAGCTATGTTCTATATATTATATACATAGAGATACGTGAGTGTTCTGACATATCACGTGGTAACCAACCGACCTTCAACCCTGATTACATTCTGGCTATACAGTAGATATAAACCTGTACCTCACGTCAACCTGTCACTCTCAGGATTCGTCGAACCATACGGAGGGTTTCATGTATAAATTACTTTAACGGACAAAGACATCTCTACAGTTCACAAGATGGCTGAGTTCAAATACATGTCATGGTTGCTGACATCTATCTCCCTTGTCAGTTTCTGTAGTTGCCATGACAAGATGGTGTCTGTCCTAAACAAACTGGAACAGGATCTGCTGGATAATAAGTTGGGTGTGATCGCTATGGAGACAAGGATACTAAACACCATAGATGTTGTCAGGGCATCCTTGAGAGCTGAGTTAAAGGAAAACATACGGGATGAAGTGAGAGAAGCCATGGCCGAGATTCTACAAGGAGTGTCTCTTCAAGACATGGTGAAAAGTCAGATTGTCTCTGAGGTGCGGCATCTGAAACAGGGTTACCATCAGATGAAGAGACAGTTGCACCATGTCTCAAGGTCGCTCAGTGATTTTCAGAACAAGACGACCGTATTTCACGAATCTCTCCTGAAGAAGGCAGATGTGTGGAATCAAGATAATTCAAGTTATATCTGTATGAGAGATAAGCATAAACTGGAAATAGAACTTCAGAAGGCCGATATTACCACTGACAGACTCACAGAAGACATCAAGCGAATAACGACATTGAAGGAGACGTGTCAGTCACAAATGTCGAAGCTTATAACAAATGCCACTGTGTCTCTTTCTACCCCCGCTCCTCTAGATGTTACACCAGCCTCCAGGACATCTGTGTCAACAACGACGCTCAGACCAGAGGTGGAGAAAAGTAGGATTTTGATAGCTCCAATTTGGTCAAGTACTCCACACCAGTTCCGTCAACTCAACATTCACAGTAACTCCCTGAGTGTCTATCAGTACCACACCATGAAGGAGGTCAGATGTATTGCATATACAACAAAGACAAGGAAACTTCTGATAGGGCTACGCTACCCTGATAAGATAGTGTCATCTACCCTGGATACACGTCACGTGACGGTATTAAGAGAACGTGTACGGACATACAGCATGGCAGTGGATGAAGATCGGGACATCGTATTTATAGCTACCTATCATCCACGTTACTCAATCAGCCGCATGTCTACACAGGGGAAAGACTTCACTGCCATCATTGACTTATCCAAGTACGGTAGAAGTCCAAGGCAAATAGCTCTTGACACAAAGAGAAGGAGGATATATGGGTGTAATGAAGAGAAACTGTTCACTGTGACATATGATGGTCAAGGTCTGACAACATTAGCCACAGGAAGCCAAGTGTATGCTGTAACCCTGGATCAGACAGCAGGTGTGTTGTATTATGGTGTAGAGAAGAAACTGATGAAGATGACTGTGTCCAATAATGTGAGTACAGAGGTGACCACACTGAACGCCGTCCCCTGGAACCTGGGACTGTATAGAGACACCATCTACTACAGTACCTATCGGTCGCCTATTGTAGGTGCAGTTGATGTGACATATAACACTGTGGCATATACTCTCCAGTCAGTCAGTATGAAGGGGGCACATACTTACTGTATGTGTTTGATTCCCTAAATGTATCAATCGCATCGTGTTTTCTCTCTATATTCCGATCTCATCCACCCTGGGAAACTGATTTTAAGATTACATATTTCATACAGCATGTAGTCTATGTTGCCATGTTAATTTGCTGTAGGTTTCATCAATAAATATCTTGTTACAGTTCTATGGCTACTATCTCTGCTTCCAACCTACAAAAAACAATGCTTCATTATCCATTACCTCCGCTAATCTTTTTGTATCTTGAAGCAGGGTCGGAAAATAGAATGTTTCGTTTCTAATAGGCTTTTAGTTTGGAATGGAGATACTGTGTTTTCAATATAGCGTTATTTTACCAGTTGATTCAACAATTAGTTATCACCTGATGGAATATCAAACCTGTTGGCATTAGAATTAAACGTACAGCAGTAAACCACCACCGGTGAGGAACATTATAAACAGTCAACACATAGAAAACCATGTCTGTGTATTTGTAAGTTTGTGTGCGCATGCGTGTGTATATGTGTATGTGTCATATTAAAAGCACTGTATGTACAGATCCTTCAGCAGTCTGTTTGTTATGTTTTTAGCAGCAAACTCAACTGGTTGATTCAGACATTACATGAAGTATTTTCATTTACTTCTTGCTGTACCCGTGAAGATCTGGATTAGAATTGGTGTTCAGCAATCCACTTTTGTCGTACGAGACAACTAACGGGATCAGGTGATCAGACACGCTGACTTGATTGATACATGAAAACGTATCCCGATTATGTAGATCGATGCTCATGATGTTGATCACTGGATTGTCTGGTCCAGAGTCGATTGTTTGCAGACCGCCGCCGACAGATATCTTGGATATTGTTGATTTGACGATAAACAAACCCCGAAAAGAACAAGCCATAATTATAACGGTGACTAGTGAATAATCGATTCCGGGCCAGACAAACCTGTGATAGATATCACGAGAAGTGATTAAAGCCGCCAAGGGTTTCCATGCCATGCATTCAGCCATGTCACTGAGCCTTCCCACTGGATCCACAGTTAGTTCTCGACGCAAATAGCAGCTTTACAATTGCTGGTTGTCGTTAACAGTCCTCACTCACTCACTCACTTGTCCCATGAACCTTACAAAGGGGACTGTCTTCCTGCATTAAGTAGGGGTGAAACGGTATACCGAGGTAGATTGCCTTCTATTCGGCATACCGTAATGCAGTCCAAACATTCGGTATTTTCGGTTTTCGTACCTTTATTTTATTGTGATCTGCATTGTCATCATATCTCATTTACCTAACCAAAACGGACTGAACCGAAGTACCGCAATCCGTACCGTGCCGTGGTAGGAGCGTACCGTTTCATCCCCAGCATTAAGGCAACGGTTCAGAGCTCCACATTACAACAACACTACAACAGCGATGTGGGGACATTTGCTTGGGGCCACATTTTAAACCCATATTATTGCAACTGATCGATGTAGTAATCTTGTCATTTATCAAATACAGTCATATTGTTTGAGTAATATAGGAAATAAGATATCGATTGAATAGACATAAACTTCATATCATCAGTTTCAAAAGGTCTAAGCACAACAACCTCCCTTGACTTCCGTAACATACAGGTTAGACCCAACAAGCTTCCTTGACTTCGGTAACATGCAAGTCACACGCAACAACCTCCCTTGACTTCAGTAACATACACGGTACACCCAACAACCTCCCTTGACTTCCGTAACATGCAAGTCACACCCAACAACCTCCCTTGACTTCGGTAACATACAGGTTACACCCAACAACCTCCCTTGACTTCCGTAACATGCTAGTCACACCCAACAACCTCCCTTGACTTCCGTAACATGCAGGTTACACCCAACAACCTCCCTTGACTTCCGTAACATACAGGTTAGACCCAACAAGCTTCCTTGACTTCGGTAACATGCAAGTCACACGCAACAACCTCCCTTGACTTCAGTAACATACACGGTACACCCAACAACCTCCCTTGACTTCCGTAACATGCAAGTCACACCCAACAACCTCCCTTGACTTAGGTAACATACAGGTTACACCCAACAACCTCCCTTGACTTCCGTAACATGCTAGTCACACCCAACAACCTCCCTAGACTTAGGTAACATGCAGGTTACACCCAACAACCTCCCTTGACTTCCGTAACATACACGTTACACCCAACAACCTCCCTAGACTAAGGTAACATGCAAGTCACACCCAACAACCTCCCTTGACTTCGGTAACATACAGGTTACACCCAACAAGCTCCCTTGACTTCCGTATGATACACGTTACACCCAACAACCTCCCTAGACTTCCGTAACATACACGTTTCACCCAACAACCTTCCTTGACTTCCGTAACATACACGTTACACCCAACAACCTCCCTTGATTTCCGTAACTTACAGGTCACACCCAACAACCTCCCTTGACTTCAGTAACAAACACGTTACACCCAACAACCTTCCTTGACTTCGGTAACATGCAAGTCACACCCAACAACCTCCCTTGACTTCCGTAACATGCAGGTTACACCCTACAGCCTACCTTGACTTCCGTAACATACACGGTACACCCAACAACCTCCCTAGACTTCGGTAACATGCAAGTCACACCCAACAACCTCCCTTGACTTCCGTAACATACAGGTTACACCCAACAACCTTCCTTGACTTCGGTAACATGCAAGTCACACCCAACAACCTCCCTTGACTTCTGTAACATGCAGGTTACACCCAACAACCTCCCTTGACTTTCGTAACATACACGGTACACCCAACAACCTCCCTAGACTTAGGTAACATGCAAGTCACATGATAGATAGATAAGAGGCAACTAAATGTATCTGGAGATCAGGCTGGCTGACTTGGTTGACGGATGTCTTCCTATCCAAGTAGCGTGGATGAATGCTCAGTAGCTAACTTACATTGTCCAGACTCGATAATTAACAGCCAGCCGTTATCCAGGTGGGGTATTGGTTAGGACAAAGTCAGGGTACAAACCAACAAACCTCACTAGTGAGTGTCAAGGTAGTGAGGCATGAGCGCCATCTGACGTGCCTGTAAACAGTTGGCCTATGAGTCCTAAAATATGCATGATGTCAGAGTCTCCAGGTGTAACGCGACCCAGTTACGCTGGACTTTGTATTCCTTATGTCAAGGTGTTCTCAGATAAGAGCATGAAAACAAGACTGAAGTACGTTTGCAGTTAGTAATGGGAATTGAAGGTAGGGGTCAAGATGTGTGCACTTATATCACGAGAAAGCTACGTGTGCGTGTGTACCTTGCACGTTTGTATGCGCGCGACCGCCTCCATGGTGTAGTGTTTTAGAGCCTCCGCACAATTTATACCCACAATAGGACAGCTCTTCAATGTAGTCGGGGCGGTGGGGTAGAATAGTGGTTAAAGCGTTCGCTCGTCACGCCGAAGACCCGGGTTCATTCCCCATTTGGTTACAATGTGTGAAGCTCATTTCTGGTGTCCTCCGCCGTGATATTGCTGGAATACTGCTAAAAACTAAACTCACTCACTCACTCACTTAATGTAGTAATCTTCTCAGTTATCATGGTATACATGCCCATCGTCATATGAGCTAAATATTCTCATGTACGACGTCAAGAGGGCAGCTCTTCAATGTAGTAAGCTTGTCAGTTATCAAATATAGAGAGATTAGTAGAGAAATATAGGAAATAAGATATATTGACGAAGTTGATTCGTGTGTTGAAAAGTGCATTTATTGTTGTGTGTTTCAACCTCTGGAATACTTTGGGGCAATGGAATATATATGTTGCTGTCTTTAAAGACAGGATTCTTCGTATATATGTGATTTGGGAATCGTATTTCTATGAAATTGTGTCAAACTACGTGTTTTCCTTTTACTTTGATATTACAAAAACAGGGAATATCCCAAGAAATAAAGCAGTAAAAATCGCATTTTGCAACTAAAACATACTGCGGCGGTGTTAACTGAGATTATCCGAAACAAGTAGCTCTAGATTAGTGTAGGGGGGCCTTAAGATCCTGAAGCTGAGATCCTGAGTCCCGATCCACAAAACGCTCGTAGTGCTACGACATCGTAAGCCAATGATAAGCTATACAGTTACGACAGGTCGTAACGATACAAACGCTTTACGGATCAGGACCCTGATCCTAGTTTGAAGCTGATGCACAGACACGATGTCATAACTATGGAATACTGTAAGGGATATCATCGTGCTACATATATGACTGTAAGAGTTTGGGTTGATGTCAATCAAATTTAACAGGTAAAACATGTGACGCCAAGAAGACTTGGACCAAATTTACAAGAATTACCAATTTGAGTCGACAAGCTTGTCTTCCAGTTCTGTCCCAAAAGTGATTCTGTACCAGATATCGAGAGGACCAAGGGCGCCAAGTTTATCGCCATTTGCTCTCAAGTTGGAGACCTTCCTTCGAATGGCGAAAATAGAATATCAGGTCAGTGAGGTTAATCAAAGAGATCTTTTGGCAGTTATTGACAATGCCAATCTTTAGGATTACGTAATAGAAAATATCTCACATGAATATCCGATTATTTACACACACACACATATATATACATCAAGTGATCTCTGATTGCTGGAATTGTGAACAGTTTGAATTCTGAGAAGAAGAAGAATGATATTTATCACATCATAACATGTCCATATTTATCACATCATAACATGTCCATATTTATCATATCATAACATGTCCATATTTATCTTATCATGCCATGTGCATATCTATCGCATCATAACATGTCCATATTTATCACATCATAACATGTCAGTATTTTCCTTATCATAACATGTCATATTAATATGATCATAACATGTCCATATTTATCATATCATAACATGTCCATATTTATCTTTTCATACCATGTCCATATTTATCACATCATAACATGTCCCTATTTATCACATCATAACATGTCCATATTAATCATAACATGTCCATATTTATCGCATCATAACATGTCCATATTTATCACATCATAACATATCAATATTTATCATATCATAACATGTCCATATATATCTTATCATACCATGTCCATATTTATCACATCATAACATGTCCCTATTTATCACATCATCACATGTGCATATTTATCGCATCATAACATGTCCATATTTATCACATCATAACATGTCAGTATTTTTCTTATCATAACATGTCATATTAATATGATGATAACATGTCCATATTTATCATATCATAACATGTCCATATTTATCATATCATAACATGTCCATATTTATCGCATCATAACATGTCCATATTTATCACATCATAACATGTCCATATTTATCATATCATACCATGTCCATATTTATCACATCATACCATGTCCATATTTATCACATCATAACATGTCCATATTTATCACATCATGCCATGTCCATATTTATCGCATCATAACATGTCCATATTTATCATATCATAACATGTCCATATTTACCATATCATAACATGTCCATATTTATCACATCATAACATGTCCATATTTATCATATCATAGCATGTCCATATTTATCACATCATAACATGACCATTATATCCTTGCTGATGACGCCGTCTTACAGCTGTAATATTGTTGAGTCTCATCACTTTTAAATCTGAGCATACAACTGGGAGGAAGTACCAAGATATATGTGGTTATGCTTTATATATCACTCTTTGTAGAATGATTTTAGTGTCAAGCGCTCGTCCAAAGGCAAGATTCCCTGGATGAAATACGAAGGAGAGGCCGTGGCTGACTCTCAGTTCTGTGTGGAGTATCTGAATCGGAAGTTGAACATTGATCTTAACAGTCACCTGACCGAGGAACAACGGGCTGTTGCGCATGCCTTTCGAAAGATGGCGGAGGAAAACCTATTCTGGTTGGTTTCAAGGGATTACAATTTTCGAGGACGCAATGTAGTGTTGTCCATCTGCTGTCTTGTGTTGTAATGACTTCGTATCGTATTGTCCCTGTGCCATATTGTCCTCAGTATCGTATTGTACCTGTGTCGTACAGTCCCTGTTTGTATTGTCCCTCTGCCATATTATTCCTGTGAAGTATTTTCCCTGTGGTATATCGTCTATGTGCCATATTGTCCCTGTTTCATATTGCCTCTGTGTAATATTGTCCCTGTGCCATGTTGTCATTGTGTCGTATTGTCCCTGTCCCGTGTTGTCCTTGTGTCGTATTGTCCTTGTGTCGCAGTGTCCCTCTGTAATATTGTCCTTGTGCCATATTCTCCCTGTGTCGTATTGCCCATCCGTGATATTGTCCCTCTGTCATATTGTCCTCCTGCCATATTGTCCCTCTGGCATATTGCCCTTGTGTCATATTGGCCCTGTGTCGTATATGGCCCTGTGTCGTATTGTCCGTCTGTCATATTGTCCTTGTGTCATATTGTCCCTCTGGCATATTGTCCTTGTGTCATATTGTCCCTGTGTCGTATTTTCCCTCTGGCATATTGTCCTTGTGTCGTATTGTCCCTCCATTTCTGGCTTGTCAAAGCGTACAGCATGTGTGTCAATCGTGTTGCCATCTGCTCTCCGTATTGTTTTAGTGCAACGGTAGGATCGCAAATGTCTATGCGCGGAGTACGGTTCATATGAGTTTTGTACGCTGAAATATCCTCACTTTGTTTAGCAGATGAAATAGGGCATAGGTCAGTACTGCGCTGCATATATCGTTATAATATACATGTTATGTGATAACCCATGACGTGCCAAAGACAGTCGATGTTTTGACCCCGGCAATGTTTTGACCATTATGCATCTTTGCAGGTGTATGGGCCTGTCCCGGGCTGAGAACCTGGACTACATGAAGAAACACATCAAGTTGAACAAACTGGTAATCTGGATCGGAACAAGAATTTACCTGAGTAATACGAAAGCTCACGGAATCGGCCGACACACCCATTAGGAAGTGTTGCACATTATGGAGGAAGATTTGAGATCATTATCAGTCTACCTTGGTAAGGAATGTCGTCAGTTGTGATGGTTATAAATAGGGTTTAATGTGACGTTCAAGTTTATTGCCCTTATATAGCAATGTGCAAATACGTACTTAAACTAGTTTGGACTGGTTCTATTGTGCTGCCCTCTGCGCAATAACGTTGGAGTTTACTATGGATACCGGGCATGCATGGACTCCCAGGTGACCAGTTCTTGTTTTATCTCCTTAATACCAGGCAGGGCAACAACAAGTGTCATCTTTTACTTGTTTTGGCAGCAGGGAATCGGGCCAACGAGTGAGTGAGTATGGTTTTACACCGTTTTCAGCAATAGTCCAGCAATATCACGGCGGGGGAAACGGGAAACGGGCTGTGCACACTGTTCCTATTTGGGGACTCGAACCCGAGTCTTCAGTGTGATAGCGTACGCTTTAACCACTAAGCTACCCACCTCCCGGTCTCGAACCAACGAACTTCCGCCCTCAGGGAAGACAATCCATGTACTACAAAACAGTACTCAAATTTCATTGTTATTGAGCATCGGTGGTCAAAAAGTTTAACTCTTTTCATCTGTACAACTTTTCTAACACTGACAGGGACAAAGAAATTCTTTTTCGGCGATCAACCATGTGAGACAGATGCTGCTTTGTTTGGACTGTTGTGTCAGTTTTGCTGGCAGTGTCCAGGAAGCAAAGGGGAACAACTCGTGAACGGTAAATACGTTGCCACAAAGACCTCTGTGGTGCTGTCTGGTCGTTCAGCCCTTAGAGTCCATTATTCATTTGGTCGTAGGTTGACAACCCATGAGAACGTCAACGTTTGTTTGTTTGTTTGTTTGTTTGCACTCAGCAGTATTCCAGCTATAAGGCGGCGGTCCGTAAATAATCGAGTCTGGACCAGACAATCATGTGATCAGCATCATGGGCATCTACGTATTTGGGACACGATGACATACGTGTCGAACAAGTCAACGAGTCCGATCCCGTTAGCCGCCACTTACGACAAGCAATTGGTTGCTGAAGATCAATTCTAATCTGGATCTTCACGGGTGTCTTGACCGTTAGGATTAGAAGTTATTTCTCTGTTTTCCGTTTCCTTTTGTTTCGTTATATTCCCTATGTACATATAATTCTCTGCGAAGTCGGTTAAAAATAGAATTCTTGCATCCTTTGGTAAGTTAGGGGGTTACAATGTGAATGAGTGAGTATGGCTTTACGCTGCTTTTAGCAATATTCAAACAATGACAGGGAACATTGTACCCAAGCGGGGAATCGAACCCGGGTGTTCGACGTGACGAGCCAACGCGCTTTAACCACTATGCTACCTCACCACCCCTGTTACGTATTCATCACCACTCACCCCTTTCCGTAAGCTCCAAGAAGACTCCATTCGTCACCACTCGGCCCTTTCCGTAACCTCCAAGAAGACTCCATTCATCACCACTCAACCCTATCCGTAACCTCCAAGAAGATTCCATTCATCACCACTCAACCCTTTCCGTAACCTCCAAGAAGACTCCATTCATCACCACTCAACCCTTTCCGTAACCTCCAAGAAGACTCCATTCATCACCACTCAACCCTATCCGTAACCTCCAAGAAGACTCCATTCATCACCACTCGCCCCTTTCCGTAACCTCCAAGACGACTCCATTCGTCACCACTCATCCCTTTCCGTAACCTCCAAGACGACTCCATTCGTCACCACTCATCCCTTTCCGTAACCTCCAAGACGACTCCATTCGTCACCACTCATCCCTTTCCGTAACCTCCAAGACGACTCCATTCGTCACCACTCATCCCTTTCCGTAACCTCCAAGACGACTCCATTCGTCACCACTCATCCCTTTCCGTAACCTCCAAGACGACTCCATTCGTCACCACTCATCCCTTTCCGTAACCTCCAAGACGACTCCATTCGTCACCACTCACCCCTTTCCGTAACCTCCAAGAAGACTCCATTAGTCACCACTCGCCCCTTTCGGTAACCTCCAAGAAGACTCCATTAGTCACCACTCATCCCTTTCCGTAACCTCCAAGAAGACTCGTCCCCGTCTCGATGCTTGTTATGTGCCAAAATACCACAAACCAGTCAGAACGCGCGTAATGGTTGCAGTGCTTTGATAAAAATAATCCCGACTACTTTAATCGTTTATGGCATTATATTATTGTATAAAAAATCATGAAAAATATACATCGTCATTTTGAAACTACTAAGAACGTAGCTAACAGAACTGTCCTGTCTAATGTGAAGTTTTTATATGAATAATGAGATTGACGGTGAGAGATTCAAATGCAAAAAGAAAAACAGCAATGCAATGTATGAGTACTTCGGTGATATTAAATACCACTGGAATCAAACAGGAATAGAGTTATCGTTCCTGTTTAAAGTAGATCTGATGTTCCTACGCAAACATGAAATCCTTCTCGAGGGCCACGAGTCGCTCTTCGGCTTGTCCCGGAATAACACGAGTTGGAATATTGCTGAGTCCATCATTAACTGATAAACAAACAAAGCGTAATATTGTCACACCATTCTCATCCTTCGAGTATAACTAATAGTGCCCCGTATTCTCCAGAATGACCAAAACATGTACGCATTTAAGTGGCTCATTTCAATGGAGAAGTAACGATCTGACATATCCTTTAGAAGGTTTGTTTGTCTTTGACAAATGTTAATAACTTGGGAGTATAACATTGCGACGGGAATATGTATTCTATGAGAACATGTTTTTCATGAAAGTTACTTATATTGAGAGAAAGGTAAGGGTCTAAAATACTATGCTGCGGTTCGGTTTTCTTTCAGAAGAGTTCACAAATCTGGTGGAGTATTGCGAGCGAATGAAGGCAACATATTGGCCGGACTGGGAGGACTGCATCACGGCGGACGGAACTAAAACTGCAACAAAATAAAATGAGAAGTTTATAAACGGTGCATGTCCTTGATGAATCCTTAGCTCTGGCTCCAGTATGTACAGTATGCTTTTGCACGGAATTAAAATGTTCCAGTCCGCGCTGAGATTCGAACCTTTCCATCGGAGGCCGAACGCCTGGTCCACAGGGCGTTAGCTACAAGCTGCCAGAGTGGGGAGGCTATCTGCTGGATGAATCCACAGCCTGCTTCATGCCGTCTTGTGCCTCCTATCACTAACGCAGAACTCCTCACTAGACTTCAACAGCATGCGTCTCTTGTCCCATTCCACTCACTAAGTACTGGCAGCAATGACTACATGAATCGGGGATCAGCTTCTCTGAAATAGCTAAATGCATGTCATAGAATCCCTTGATTGACGGACATGTCAGTCAGTGGGTTGTGTAGTATGAACAGGTTATTTCTATGTCCACACGTCTTCTCGTGGGGAGATGTTGTACTTAATACAACACAGATTGCCTTAGTTACAGTTAGAAACATAACAGAGCGGCAGACATGTTCAGCAAATAGCATTACAAAGTTACAATCGTGGAGACAGGGTGCGTCTACTCATGTACTCATTGTACTCACGTGGTGCATCAAACCAGGGTCTTCAGCGTGACGGGCGAACGCTTTAACCACTAGGCTGTCCAGAGAGATTGTATCGTGTTAATCATGAGTCTTTGGCGAATGACTTTCAGCAATCGTTCACCAGGGACATATAATCCGTATTTTCGAGTTATGAGAAGTGAGAAGTGTTGTTCGTTGATATTATAAGATAAAAATGAAATAAAACCGTATGAAATGTCTTCTCTTCAGAGAACTTTCAAGGATGGCGTCTCGTTCCGATGATGTAATTTAGTCAATTTGTGACATCACGAACAATGGAGCTTCAATTGACCAATTAGCATTGAAAATTGCTGTAAACGCAAATATTGGAAATGTAGTATACATTTACATAATATCTTTCGGAAGCCTATTAAATAGAGTTCATCTTGAAAGTTAAGCTTCGTGTTTAGCCTGGAATAGAAATCATAAAAAACAACATCATATTTGAGCCTTCCTTCTGTCCTTCAGAGAGTCTGTCCTCTAGGAATGGTTTCAACATGGCCTCCCTGACTACCACCGTCAAGGCACTGGGACATGATTCTACAACAATTAGACAATTGGTGTACCGGTTCACAGAAACACGAGGACACGACGCTACAACAATTAGACAAGTGGTGTATCGGTTCACAGAAACACGAGGACACGATGCTACAACAATTAGACAAGTGGTGTACCGGTTCACAGAAACACGAGGACACGATGCTACAACAATTAGACAAGTGGTGTACCGGTTCACAGAAACATGAGGACACGATGCTACAACAATTAGACAAGTGGTGTATCGGTTCACAGAAACACGAGGACACGATGCTACAACAATTAGACAAGTGGTGTACCGGTTCACAGAAACGTGAGGACACGATGCTACAACAATTAGACAAGTGGTGTATCGGTTCACAGAAACACGAGGACACGATGCTACAACAATTAGACAAGTGGTGCACCGGTTCACAGAAACACGAGGACACGATGCTACAACAAGTAGACAAGTGGTGTACCGGTTCACAGAAACACGAGGACACGACGCTACAACAATTAGACGAGAAGTTCACTGGTTCATAGAAACACGAGGAAATGGTATTACTGAAATAAAACGAGGTGTACTTGTTTCATAGAGACACGAGGAAATGGTATTCATACAATAAAACAAGAGGTGTACTGGTTCGTAGACACACGAGTAAATGGTATTACTACAATAAAACAAGTGGTGTTCTGGTTCATAGAGACACAAAGAAATGGTAATGCTACAATAAAACAAGTGGTGTTCTGGTTCATAGACACACGAGGAAATGGTATTACTACAATAAAACAAGTGGTGTTCTGGTTCGTAGAGACACGAAGAAATGATAATACTACAATAAATCAAAAGCTGCATTGGTTCACAGAGACACGAGGAAATGGTATTGCACAGGGAACAACCGGCATCAACTGTAGACAAAACAATACATTCATTCCGAATCATTTCTGATCCCTAATTTTGTCCAAAGCAGCACAAATGTAACCCCCTCTACCCGTGAAAACAAGTCATTTGCATCTCCGGTAGAACATGTCCAATGCAGTATATTGAACAGAAGGTCATACAAATATAACTACCTTCAACACGAATTAATGAACACTTCCGGTTTGCGTCACTACTTCCGGTTTGAGAAAACCACGTTCCACGCACTAGCTTGTCTCTGGGGGGGCGGCGGGGTAGCCTAGTGGCTAAAGCGTTGGCTCGTCAAGCCGAAGACCCGGGTTTGATTCCCCACATGGGTGCAATGTGTGAAGCCCATTTCTGGTGTCCCCCGCCGTGATGTTGCTGGAATTTTGCTAACAGCGGCGTAAAACCAAACTCACTCACTCAATCACCTCGCCTCTGGCTTTGAATTCCTAATGAAGACGTTTCCTTTTTAATGACATCGGTATCTCTTTAACCATACTGAAAATACTTTAAGTATACTAGTATTTACAAGTTGTTTCATATGATAAAATAATCTTAATATGTACCATAATCCTGCAATATACTAGACATTCAGTTATTTGCTTGAGACTGTCAGATATGATTAGAACATGTTAGGACACATTCAGGCCACTTTCCTATGTTGTACTTCTTACTTGGAGACCCATGGATACCCGGGTGGGAATTAATCTTCAGCAACCCATGGTGGCGCTCAAATAAGATAAAACACACCAGGCTTCTTAAATGTGGATTGTTCGACTTGCATTGTATAATCTTTATATAGGGGTTAAAATTGTGAATAAATACATGACCAAACTGTTTCTTTTTCAAACTAAAAAAAGTCACAATGATACAGGCACGTACCAGTACCGTATAGGAGCTAGAGACAACGCCCACTGCCCACGATAGCTGCCCAGACTGGGAATCCCGTTACTACAAAGTAAATGAGTGAGTGAGTGAGTGAGCGAATATTGTTTTATGACTTTTGGTAACATTCTAGCAATATCACGGAGGGGAATGTCAGGAATGGGTTTACCACATTGTACCTATGTGGGGAATCGAACCCGTGTCTTCCGCGTGATGAGCGAACGCTTTAACACTAGGAAGGATACTCCACCGCCCAGTTTCTGCAAAGTGAAAGTCACGTGTACACTAACGGAGAAAGGTAAGTGTGCATCATGTAAACGTTCATGAAAAATAAATAATTTCTGAAATCAAGTACTGCATCTTTTAATGCATATAAGTCATGAACACATCTCCTCGATTTCAATATTTATGATTGGATGTGTACCTTTATGAGCGGTGAACAATTTGGAATGTGACGTGTTGGTCAGGAGCAGGAATTTGAATCTGCAGAGCGCACTATGCGTATTTATACTCATAATAATAATAATTCATTTCCAGCGCCTTGTCTAGCTGTTCACTGGATGCTGTAGTCACCTTCTGCCGCCTTCAGCTTGGGTTATCCAGGGTAATGATAGGCAGATTGTAGCGCTTTGAGCATGCTGAGACATGGATATATGTGCGGAACAGATACGCTATGAATATTGTTGTTGCTGTTGATGTTGTTGTTGTTGTTCTTGATGATGATGATGTTGTTGTTGTTGTTGTTCAACCACGTCAGTGAGCCTGACCAACCAAAGAATAGAGGTGTTTCTCAACGTGAAACAATATGCTTCCTTACATAAAACAATCTACGAGTCACGCAAGATATCATTGCATTCACTGTCAACGTTTGTTTTCTATGTTTGTATTCCAAAATGTAATATGATGCCTTGGAAAATTATCAAGTACTACCTGTGACTATTTTAAGACAGCGTTCCACCAGTTTGATGAACACACTCACCAAATGTCAACAATGTACAGACGACCAATGGGCCTCAGTAGTTATATGTTTTGTGTTAAACAATGTTGTAATTTTATCAGGTTGTTTCCTGTAGGATTCGGTAAAGTCCATAAAGTTGTGTTTTCATAACAGTCAGTTTTCAGGAATATAGTACTATCGAATGTAAGCTCTGCTACTGAATACTCTCAGGGGATCAACTGGCAGGTGCCTTCGTATCAGCGGAACAACGGGTAAAGAAGCATTGGTTTAAATAAGTTGTTAACAAAGGCGGTTGCTATAGAACTGTTAAGGAAGTATTTACTGATTACATCAACCCGAGTTCATCGTATAAGTATCATGTCAGACAAGATCCGCCGTTGGAATGGCGTACGTGGTATATATTTGTTATCAGGAATGATGTGATTCGTCGTTGATTTAATCACAACTATTGCATTACACAAATCCTGTTGTCTATACACGAGGGACACGAGGATGTACTGTGATATAGACGCCAATCCAACCTCAAATGACACGACCAATATGGACAAACAAGGAACCATAAATCCACGTTTTTCAATTGCTCAGTGTCGTCTATGCTTTGTCGTTGTCACGTCAGCATCAACGTCAATGGTGGACACGCACGATACTGAATTTGTGAACTGACTTTTGACACCACATCTCTCCAAGGGCGTGTCATGATACCTAAAGTCAAATCATACATATTACAATATTATCCTGTCAACAGTTCAACAGTCATTAAGGAAAACACCACAAATAATGTTATTATCATTCTTGTATTAACAAACGGCATAACATCAAATAATGCACAGTTCCTTTATTTCAGTAGTATATAGACGCTAATTCAAGCTCATATGTCACGAGCCAATACATTTGATATATGATGGATAAACATGGAAGAATAAATTCACGTGTCTTGCAAAATAATGAACAGCTTGGTTACGTGTAGATTTGACCTGATTCACGTCTTCTACATATACAGGTTACCTAACTTTACATTGAAAACACCGAAGGTTCATATCCCCCCGTCGGAAATATTTAATTGACAGATACTGGTTCAATACAGTGTTTTGAGTGGGTTTCCCATCTGAATTAGAGACACACCAACACAGACTTATAAGCGGTGTTTGACATCATTATACATTTACTCGCATATATTTCAGGCACTGAAGCTAGTAAGCTAGCGTAAAGCTAGCACCTAAATAGTAACGTCAACACAAAAGATTAACGATTATTCTCAGAAAGAGATTCCATTTGGCTGAAAGGTAAAATAGTGGTGAAGAGTATATCAGTGGATCATTGGGAATCAGTTATGACTCCATTAGTTCACAGCGTAAGCGTGTCCTGTCCATCTAGTCACATCCGCCGTTTATAACATGGTTAAGATAATGAATATTGCCTGACGTCGAACAACAAAGGTCATCGTTTGACCTGAAAATTACGTGACACTATATGAACAGAATGGCCCTTCGAACGTTAAGGTGTACACAGCACGTCACTATTAGTACCCAACCTTTGCATGGGGTATCGTATAATTGTACAATGAGTGAATACCAATTCTCTCTAAATATTCGCCTTCATGATCATGAGGTCGTCAGTAGAAGTGCTTCAGTCAGAGATTGTTAATGTGCAAAGTTTCCATAACTGATGGTAACACATGGATTATAACATTCAAGGAACCAAACACATGAGTAAAGCACCTGCCCCCTTCATACTGACTGACTGGAGAGTATATGCCACAGTGTTATATGTCACATCAGTTGCACCTACAATAGGAGAACCATGGCTACTGTAGTAGATAGTGCCTTTATACAGTCCCAGGTTCCAGGGGACGGTGTTCAGTGTGGTCACCTCTAATCTCACATTATTGGACACAGTCATCTTCATCAGTTTCTTCTGTGCACCATAATACAACACACCGGCTGTCTGATCAAGGGTTACAGCATACACTTGGCTTCCTGTGGCTAATGTCGTCAGACCTTGACCATCATATGTCACAGTGAACAGTTTCCTGTCATCACACCCATATATCCTCCTTCTCTTTGTGTCAAGAGCTATTTGCCTTGGATAACCACCGTACTGGGATAAGTCAATGATGGCAGTGAAGTCTTTCCCCTGTGTAAACATGCGGCTGATTGAGTGTCGTGGTTCAACGGTGGATATGAATACGATGTCCCGATCTTCATCCACTGCCATGCCATATGTCTTTACACGTTCTCTTAATACCGTCACGTGACGTGTATCCAGGGTAGATGACACTATCTTATCAAGGTTGCGTAGCCCTATGAGAAGTTTCCTTTTCTTTGTTGTATATGCAATACATGTGACCTTCACCATGGTGTGGTACTGATAGACACTCAGGGAGTTACTGTGAATGTTGAGTTGACGGAACTGATGTTGGGTAGATGACCAACCTGGAGCAATGAGAATCCTACTTTTCTCCTCTTTTTGCCTGGGTGTCTTCACCAGCGTTGTCGACACAGGTGGCGTGACTGTAGACGTAACATGTTGAGTTGCTTGGGAAGAAGCAGTCGCAGCAAGAGCTATTTTCAGTCGTGATAATTGGACCTGACATGTCTCATTTAAATCTTCCAGCTCCTCATTCCGAGTCTTGAGATCAGCAGCATAGACCTTACTCTCCCTTAGTTCTTTTTCCAGTTTATGCTTATCCCTGATACATATATCATACGAAGTCTTTCCATTCCACATACCTGCCTTCTTCAGGAGAGAGTCGTGAAATACGGTCGTCTCGTTCTGGAAATCTCGGAGCGACCTTGACACATGATACAACTGCCTCTTCATCTGATGGTAGCCCTGCTTCAGATGCCGCACTTCAGAGACAACCTGACTTTTTACCATGTCTTGAAGAGACTCTCCTTGTAGAATCTCGGCCATGGCTTCTCTCACTTCATCCTGTATGTTTTCCTTTAACTCAGCTCTCAATGATGTCCCCGTGACATCTATGGTGTCAAGTACTCTTTTCTCCATACGAAGTATATCCATCTTATTTTCGAGCAGATCCTCTTCAAACTGTTTCAGCTTGTTCAGGACAGACACCATACTGTCCTGACCATAACAAGAACAGATTAGGGAGGCAAATGTCAACAACCATGGAAGATACTTAAAGTCGACCATAGCTAGGATTATACAATATCCTCTGAGATGTCCTTGTCCATTAGAGTGATGTGAGCATGTACCTCTCGGTGTGGTTCGATGTTTACTGCTACTGATTGGCTGGCGCAAGGTACAAATATACATTAACTGTGTTATCAGCGTTGCAGGTCACCAGTTGGGGCCATCTCCTAGGTGCACAGAACACGCAGGAATCACAGTTTGCCTGCGTAACATACACACAGAGACGTGTAGCAACACACAGACACAAATATACAAACAAACACACACACGCACGCATACACATACACGTATATGTACGTTGCTATATAAAGAAAGTTCTGAGCGTGACGTTAAACCCTTTCATCTTACCTTACGGCGATATAAGTGTTATGTACATCCCGTCCTTCATAGAGGTTATCAAGTTCTACTTATGGGGAATATAGTGACTTAACAGGCACGCCAACATTCAAGCCGTGTTGAAGTTTACAATACATCTGTAACTAGTTGTTTGTCAAGTCTTTCGGGGGAAAATAAATGAATTAGGGAACCCTTACCTTTAGAATAAGATCAGTATTTTCAATTGACCATGCACGTTACACGGTGCCAAAGTGTTTGAGTGGACTGGGACTATCACACCGGTATTAGTTCGAACTAGTACAAGCAGACACCCACAAGCACGCAGTGGTACGTCATGCGACCATAGACTCCATTATATCTCATCCCTATCCCATTAAGATCCAGCTGGAATATTGCTAAGTGTGGCATTAAACAACACACCAGCCAACCGTACACCATGCAGATGCCTTGATTAAGAGCAACGGTGCAAAGTCCAGCGTAGTTTCGCTACGTTAAACTCGCTACCTTGTTGGGTGATTGCATGCCTCGATGCTGAAACAGGACTTGTGGTGAGAAGGGCAAATGCAGATTCTCACTTCATTGATATCATACACAACATGGTCAATCTCCTTGGCAGAAACAAAGGTTTGGTTTTGGATTCGAGCGTTTGTGTTAATATAGAGAGTTGTTAGGAGATATGTAAACTGAAGAATGGTTTCTTTACTAAGGAGCAGCGATGTTACTGGGTTGAGGACATGTTGTACAGTTCATTCCAGGGTGCGCAAAGCCGGGTCTAGGACCATTGCCACCCGGACAATTGCCACCCGAACAATTGACACCCAGGACAATTGCTACCCAGGACAAATGTCACCCGGACAATTGCTTCCCAGGACAATTGCTACCCAGCACAATTGCCACACGGACAGCATGTGTGTGATCACCTGCTCATTGTTCTCGACTCAAGATGTCCAGGCCCCGGGGTCATGAAAGTGACTTAAGTCTAAAATTTGCTTAAGTCTGTCATTTTTTTGTGTTAAGCAAATTTTAGACTTAAGACTTTTTCATGATCCCGGGGCCAGGAACCTCCAGGTTTTCATCAAAGCCTAGATTTCATCAAAGTCCAAATTACTTCAAGGTTCAAAGTTTATCAAAGTCACAATATGAATATACCAAGAAAACATTGACTTTTCATCATCTAAAGTTATGTTTATTGACAACCTGCATACATTTTCTATAATAAAATTACATAAACATTTGGGTGGCAATTGTACTCACTATTATTATTAGAATAATTTGGTGGCAATTGTCCTAGGTGGTTTGTTGGTTAACTGTATAGTTCATTCTGCTAAAGGATAGGTTGGGTGTTGGGTATATGGGCTTGTTCCACTAGTTCATTTAAGTGAAAGGTTTGGTGGGTGTTCATCCTCGTTGGTTTCAAACTGATAAACGTCTGAGATCTATATCACTACGGGATTTCATCTCACATAATCGTCAACATCTGAAGGGATTGTGTGAATCCAGCAAAGGTCCTTGCAGTTAGCAAACGTACTATAAGTACCGATGGTTCCTAGTATGGTGATCTACCTTCCGTTGCTAGTGATTTATAATCCGATTTTATATTGTAAGGTCCTCAATGGTACATAACTTAAGTTAAACGCTAGTTTAAAATCTCTAACTGTGATATTCTAGTCGCTCTGCTGTCCTTCCCAGACATATTGCATAACCTAGCATCATGAATTATCTAAATATGATGTGCTATGGACACGATATGACTGAAATATGGCCATAGTGACTTTACCACACACACTCACAAGTTATAGTTCGGTACCTTGATGACCGCCGCCATATAATTGGAATACTGCTGAGTGTGGCGTAAACCTAAACTCACTCATCCGGCACCTTGATGTAGCGGCACGAGAAGCGCCGTCATGACGTGGTCTGATGTTGATGGAGGCCATGGAGTAATCTCCTCATGTTCATCTCCAACACTGCATCGTTCCAGCAATGTGTACAGTCCTATGCGCTAGGGATGAAACGGTACAATTTTACCACGGTACGTATTGCGGTACAAGGCATTCGGTTCGGTTCGTTTCCGTTCGGTATATGAGATGTGATCATAATGCAGAAGGAGAAGAAAAAAGAAAAGCATAGATTTGACAAAATGATTTCGAGACATTTTAGAAAAGGTTTTAAAAAGTTCATAATGTGACGGTACCAAAACCGAAAATAGCGAATGTTTGTATTGCATTCTGGTATACCGAACCGAAGGCAAAATACCGCGGTTCTACTAATACCGCGGTATACTGTTTCACACCTACCATGCAATCGTCAGCAGTCTGCGTACATACACTTCCCGACTTGGTTGACACGTGTCATCGTATATCAACTGTGCAGATCGATGTTGTTGATGTTGATCTGTGGATTGTCTGGTCCAGACTCGATTACTTACAGATCGCCGCCATATAGCTTGAACCAACCAACATACACTTCCTATTTAAATACAGGCACCAACAGCATCCAATGGTCATCGTTCTTTGACAGTTTCTTATTGAGCTCATCGTATTCTGCAGAAGTATCCATAGTATAATAATCATCACACACGATGCTGGTCCCCTTGAGATGTTATGTGTGATAAGAGGCAAGACTTACATACCAAAGAAAATGCAGGATAATGCTAAGTGCATATCATCCTGTAGAAAGGGGGCACGCACCTAATACAACCATCGGGCGGTTTAGCTCCAGTCAGTCATGGGGTAAGGCAAATACAGAATTGTCTTTTGAATAACGAACGTTGTGAGGGAGGTAAACCTGTTTCAGTTATCATCCATGATAGCAGGTCGCAACCTTACTTTCATCTCGCTGCTGTGCAATTGCTGAATGTATTTGTTTTTGTGGGGAACATCACACAGTTATAACCTACTTGTGCTATGTCGTCCTGACTGGGTCACCTTGTTCCACATGCGGTCGGCAAGGACGAGGTTGTGTTCATTGGCCTCCCACATGGGAATATGTTTTCATGCCTTCGTCATCTGAAGATCAAGCTAACATGGTGGCTAATATTACATAATTCTGGAGCAGGAATTTTGCAAGGACGTGACACTGGCATGGGGACCTCAACTTCTCTCAATCCATCGACACATTGCAGGCAGTGGAATGAATCCGAAATGGAAAAAGATCCTCTTGTTAACTTGTTCACCTTACCATCACATTACAAATTAAGATTAAGCGGCAATCATAACCCTTCTTTAAGTATTGTTCATTATGAAAATATAAATATCTCCCACTCGTGATCAATTCCTTAGAATTCTTTTACAAGTTGTATGGATATTCAACAGTGGTATCTAGTGTTACACGGATTACAGTGATGTCACAGGGTATCACTACACCTTCTCGGGTATTATGAAGCTAACGGAATGAGCCGAGAGATTCCGAGTGCCTGCCAGTGTCAGTGACCAGTATTTTCAGTTCACCTGCAAGTTGAGAAGTTGGGATATGAGATATATTCATAGTTCATAGTTGTGGCCACGGCATCTTGTTTAACCTTCACCGTTCTTTAGTTGGTTATTTATATTTTTGTGTTTAAACATCTGCTTGCTCCAGTTTGGGAATAAGCAAGTATACATTTACAACTTCCTTTGAAACAAATAAATAATTTGCATTTCTCATTACATTGACTAATAAAGTTTTCTTTTCTAAGCTCTGCAGCCAAAGTGATTCTTTACCAACTATTCCGAAGTCCCCGAGCGCCAAGTCCGTCTCCGTTTGCTGTTAAACTAGATACTTTCCTCAGAATGGCTAAAATAGAATACACAGTGAGTATTCATAATAAAGCAGCTATAAGTAATATATATTTAAATACACTCAACACTGATGTGAGTGACGCGAATACATAAATTAAAGTTATGAATGAAAGTTTAAGACTGTTTTGCTGTAACACTGAACTACATCAAGGAACGTCATATTTGTCTTATGGATTGGGAAACTCTTTCATTTGTCCTTAAAATAATTCCTGAAATTCACTGTCAATGACATAGGCTGAAATTATTTTGTTCACAGTTAACGGGAATTGTCCATTGTAGTAGGATGGAGCACGTGCGTGCTGGGGGCGGGGTATTGATGGGGGGGGGGGGGCAGCCAACCCTGTGCTTGTTGGACATGTTCATCAGAGGTGCCACACATAATATTATTGTCAAATGGTAATAGTTAGTTACGCGGATGCCTAAAACCTATATATACATATACGTTTCTTATTGCTATAGCTTCACGATTTGGATTTTAAATAATGAGATTAAAATAACACTAGCAGTCATAATAGCCATGAAGTCAGCGAAACTAATGTTCCTCTAATCACTGCATTAGGCAAGTTTTTAAATGCCGAGACAGTATATCTGCGGTGAAAATATTATCTTCGCACAACCGCTAAATGCCTCCCAGAATGTTCCATACTATGGTCTATGCTATTCCAGGGTTTTACATCTGACTATTCCAAACCACTGCTACGTTATACAGTAATATATTCCGACATATTCCGATATATTATGGTTAAAACATGATGCTATGAACTGAATCTAAACAGAAGCAACGTCATACATTTGCAGCATTGTTTAGGAACAGACAACACTGCCATATTCAAGCACCTGCTAATGCACTGTAGTACCCCATGACCATCATAGACTTGTCTAGGGATCCGAGATTCGCCGTGAATAGTTTCTGAATCATGACAGAAACCTTTGGTAGTTGGTTCGAATGAAGGTGTATGAACCTTGGCGAAAACACAACACAAAACCTCCGAGGTTTTCAGCAAGGTCCTAAGAACAGACTTTCCACCCCTACTAAGCTGAAGACATTATGAGTGGTATACTGTTCAAACATCACACATTCATTCAAGGCACATTGCAGAACGACTTCAGCGTGACACAGTCGTCCAAAGGCAAGATCCTCTGGATGCGATACGACGGAGAACCTGTAGAGGACTCTCAGTTCTGTGTCGAGTATCTGAACCGGAAGTTAAACATAAACCTAAACAGTCACATGACCGAGGAACAACGAGCTATTGCGCATGCGTTTCGGAAGATGGCGGAAGTGAATCTATACTGGTACGTTATATCATTCTATGAACTCTGTTCATCATGAAGCTTCTCTGTGAATGTACTGAATATTTGTGCAGGGATGGGTTTTTTTGTAGATCGTAATATATGGAAGGGATACTATGGCATCCGGATCTACAAAAACACAGATTTTATGTGGATATAATATGTAAATACTCATGTCTGGCGTTCTGCCATGGGGAGGAAGTCAAAATTATTACTACTGCCGCATGGTTGATGAGAGATGTTATTTTCCAGGTGTATGGGGATGGCTAGAATGGAAAATATGGAGTTTATGACAAGTATGCCCGGAAATAGGTTCAACAAACTATTTATTTGGTATGGTATACGCGTGTATCTGAACCAGATGAAAGCTCACGGAATCAGACCACACTCCCATGAAGAAAGCCTGCATATTATGGAGGGTGATTTGAGATCACTGTCAGTCTACCTAGGTAAGGAATGCAAGGCGAGTTGTCTTTGACTTCAGCATAGATAAGTTTGTGTTGGCTAACATTTGCTTTGTGTTTGTGTTCCCATACGCCTAAACGAGGACGAGGCCACTCAAAGTTGAGGACTTCTGTTTCCCGATGACTCATGACAGAAGGGTCGGGCCCTGTGGGGCTTTAAATTGTTGTCTGTTTTGTATCATCATTTTTAACGAAATAGATGTTACGTGGAGATTGTTTGATGAGTTAATTGTTTATTGATTGATTCATTTTTTTATTGACTGGTCATGAAATTGATTGAATGAATGATGAATTAATTGATTTATTGATTGATTTATTGATTTATGAATAGATTGCCTGTTTTTCATGGATGATTTAATTGATTGTTTTTTATTGATTGATTTGTTTTGGTTAAAGGGATAAATGGTCTGGGATTTTCTTGAACAGTTATCATATCATGCTGAACCCGGAATTATAAGAATATGCATCATGACATGTAAACATAAGATAACATCATTTACGTAAGTTCAGACCCTCTACAACAGTTCTCTTTCAGAAAGATTCTCAAATTTGATTGAGAATATTTCATTGGCAGTCGCATGAATATGTATGAACATAAGGAGGGAAAAGCTATGTGCTAACATTTTAAACTAAGTGGTTCATACCAAGGGGAAAAGACGTGTGAAATATCATCCTCCCGTTCGGTTTTCTATCATAAAAGTTCACAAATCTGGTGGAGTATTGCAAACGAATGAAAGCGACATTTTGGCCGGACTGGGAGGACTGCATCACGGTGGAAGGAACTAAAACTGCAACAAAATGACACGAGAACTTATTAAATGGTCCTGATGAACGTCAGTTGTTAAACCGGAAGTTAATGATGATCCACGTTGCATGATCCTAACGTCGTTGTAATCCTCTGAAGAAAAGATGTCAGTAAAAATAAAGAATGCATGAAGATACCACACCAAACTAGAATGCACACTAAACTGATGTAAATGACGTTTATTGATGATGAATAATGTGACGTCATTATTTTGAGTAAAGGTGATTATTTGCCAAATGGGATTTCTCTGTTGCAGTCTTTAACATTTTGAAAAGATTCAATTAAAATGATGTCCTTCTCGTTGCCTGTAAAAACACCAACGAGTTATTTGGTCTCTGCATTTCAGACACAAGCATGATTTGTTTAGACGTGTGAGACATGACGTTGACATTCATCATCTGATTCAACCTTAAACCTCAGGACGCGGTAGCAGCGTGGTTAAAGCGTTGACTCACCATGCCGGAGGTCCGGGTTTGATTCCCAACATGGGGAAACGTGTCCAATATGTTACCAGAAAGATGTAAATAAATACGTGATATCGAATAAATTACCTACACCTGAAATTCCTAATTTTATTCAAGGTCAAGCTGATATTCTAAAGGACGAACGTTTTGAATACGAACTATGTTTATCCATAGCAAACTTTTAAGAACATGACGCTTCAAGAATGGAAGAATTTTGCCTTTTTGGAATATACATGTGTGTGTCAGTGTCTAGAAGCTAATAAAGGACTATGAATAATCACGATGAATATGATTGTATAAATTAAGTGATCTGTGATATTTTTGTCAGTGTCATGGCGTCAAATGAAGTTCTTGTTGAAGAGCACATGGATATGTTAAAGTCGGCGCCTTACCGTAAACAGCTGAGAGAACACGTGGGTGTCTGATCCATGTACTCTGCACCAGTATGTGCAGTATATTTGTGTTGTGGCCGTGAAACAGGCCCGTCCCGTGTTGGTATTCGGAACACATATCCACATGACAGCAAACGCTACATCCGTGAGCAAGCTGACATGAACGTGGTGCCATCTTTTGGATAAGTTCACGTCATGTGCGTGTGACAACAGAAGAAGAACACTTTCAAACGTCTTCAGCAGATTGACTACACTATACCAATATGCATGTGGCGTTCGAGGAACCTCACTACGTGCATGCTACTCCTCGCTAGAGTTCAGCAATAACCTCTCAAGGTTTCAATAACATGCATGTCACACCCAACAACCTCACAAGGTTTAAATAACACGCATGTCACACCCAACAACCTCTCAAGGTTTCAATAACATGCATGTCACACCCAACAACCTCACAAGGTTTCAATAATATGCATGTCACACCCAACAACCTCTCAAGGTTTAAATAACGTGCATGTTACACTCAACAACCTCACAAGGTTTCAATAATATGCACCTCACACCCCAAAACCTTCCTAGACTTCAGAAACCTCCACGTTAGACCGAACCATCTCACTAGACTTCAGAAACCTCCACGTCAGACCCAGCCACCTCACTAGACTTCAGAAACCTCCACGTTAGACCCAACCACCTCACTAGACTTCAGCAACATGCTTCCCTCATCAGACCTCATTAAATTTCAGCCATATGCATGCCACACCCAAACACATTATGCTTACACAATGCCATTTAGTAAACGATCAATGTAACATATATTATATTTGGGATTACACTTTCTTAGTAAATTACAGTTTCTTGTACTCTTGGATTCGAACCCACACCCTCAGAGTCAGGCACCTAATCGCCAACACACAAAGTCAGCCGCCTAATCCACTCAGCTATCGCGACTTCCAGTCTGTGTATCATTGCCTTCGGCCGTGGGAGCCGTGCCAATTTACACTTATCAGAGGAGTACACAAAGTCCGCAGTCTGGACTACCAATTCCATTCGTGGAAGTCGTGGTGATATGACATATGTAACATTATGAGTCTTCAGTATCATCTACATCCCATTCTTACGACACACTAGACTTCAGCAAAATGCAGGTCAAATCACAACAACCTCACAAGACTTTGGCAACGTGTATGCCGAACCCAGCAACCTCACTTGACTTCAGCAATATGCATGTCACACCCAACAACGTAATTAGTCGTCAGTAACATCTACATCCCACCTTTAAATACTTTCTGGACTTCAGCAACGTGCATGTTATGTCCAGCAAGTTCACTAGACCTCAGCAACGTGTATGCCACACCCAATAACTTCCCTAGAAGTAACAAGTAAGTCATGCCCAACAACCTCACTAGAAATCAGTAACATGGAACTCACACCCAACGAGCTCACTAGGTTCAGTAACAAGCAAGTCACAACTAACAACCTCCCTGGACTTCAGCAATATTCACGTCACACCCAACAACCTCGCTGGAGTGCAGAAACATGCAAGTGACAACTAACAAACTCTCTAGACAAATAGCAAAATGCATCTCCCACCCACACAACCTCACTATAAATAAGTAGCATCCAGAGTACACCCACACAACATCCGGGCAACTACCATATGTTGGACGGAATCACACAAATGAAGTGGTTCAGTGACATGACTGGTTTTGGCAGGGCTGCCAGTTTGCACGAAGTTAGGTTCCCTGTACTTACAGACATGCCACCGTCACCGGGCGGTCACTGTTACAGCAGATATGAGTGTCACGTACGTGTACCCTTCAGTGATATGTCTTAACTCTGATTCAACTACAACAGTGTGTAAATCAGACGTCACTTGATAAAAGGGACGCCCTGCACCACAATGAGGTAGGTCGATATTGTGCCACATGCTCATCCACAGAAACATAATTTTACACGTACTGTACTAACGAACCCATATGGATAGATAAGAGGCAACTAAATGTATCTGGAGATCAGGCTGGCTGACTTGGTTGACGGATGTCTTCGTATCCCAGTAGCGTGGATGAATGCTCAGTAGCTAAATTACATCCAGACTCGATAATTAACAGACAGCCGTTATCCAGGTTGGGACAAAGTCAGGGTACAAACCAACAAACCTCACTAATGAGTGTTGAGGTAGTGAGGTATGAGCGCCATCTGACGAGCCTGTAAACAATTTGGCCATGAGCTATAAAATACCCATGATGTCAGAGACTCCAGGTATAACACGACCTAGATACGCTGGACTTTGGATTCCTCATGTCAAGGTTTCGTTATCACAAGGCTTCGTAAACACGGTGTTGACACTATCTCAAGACTGAAGTAGGTGTACAGTTAGGGAGGGGTGACATGTATTAGAGTTGAAGGTAGCAGTCACGATGTGTGCACTTATATCACGCGCGTGAAATATACGTGTGTATGCACGTGTAAGTTTGTTCTAGCGGGTTTATCTTTGTGTGTGCATGTGTGTAGGTGTCTCTGTTCATGTATGTAAGCATGTATGTATGTGATTATGTACATGCGTGTACGTGCGTGTGTGTGTACATGCGTGTACGTATCTGTATGTGTGTGACTGTGTCTGTGTGATTGTGTCTGTGTTTCTGTGTGTACGTGTGTTATTCCCATTTTATCCATTTAAATACTGAGAGTTCATTAAGCATCATGGTATTGCCTATCCACTAGCTAAACCATTACACAGAAGATGGAAGAATGTATCTATATCAGACAACATGCTCTCCTGGTGATATTTGCATGAGTTATTATACTAGGAATGCAAGAGTGTTTCATGTTTTGACTGATTTCATAGTATAGTTACACATACAGCCTTCCTGGCTTGATTATTGCTGCTCATTTCAATACAAGGAGCCCTGACAGATGACGCATTTGATGAAGAACTTGTCACTAAACTGAGAGTGATAAGCCCTGACCCCGTTTGGAGTCGTAATGGTTAGTTTAAGACACTACTCTGAAACTCGCATGGACGTGGGGGAGGTGTGTGTACGTGTGTGTGTGTTCGTTCGAATGTGTGCGCGTGCGTGTCTGTGTGTATGTGTGTGTCGCTGAGTGTGTGTGTACGTGTTTGTGTGTGTGTCTGTGTCTCTCTCCCTTCTCCCCCTCTCCCCCTCCCTCCCTCTCTCTCTCTCTCTCTCTCTCTCTCTCTCTCTCTCTCTCTCTCTCTCTCTCTCTTTCGGTGACCTTGCATGGTTGTTTTCACCAACGTGACTACATGAGTACATTACTTGTGTAATGCAACCTGAGACGCTTAAATCACTAATGATAGAGCTAGGTTCTATATATAATATACATAGAGATACGTGAGTGTTCTGACATCACGTGGTTACCAACCGACCTTCAACCATGTTTACATTCAGACTACAGAGTAGGCTTCATGTATACATTATTCTAACGGACAAGGAAATCTCACAGGCTTTTGCACAGTTTACAAGATGGCCGAGTTCAAATACATGTCATGGTTGCTGACATCTATCTCCCTAATCTGTTTCTGTAATGGTCAGGACAGTATGGTGTCTGTCCTAAACAAACTGGATCAGTGTGATCGGGATCTGCTTGATAATAAGATGGGCATGCTCGCTATGGAGAAAAGGATACTAAACACCATAGATGTTGTCAAGGCATCCTTGAGAGCTGAGTTAAAGGAAAACATCCGGGATGAAGTGAGAGAAGCCATGGCCGAGATTCTACCAGGAGAGTCTCTTCAAGACATGGTAAAAAGTCAGGTTGTCTCTGAAGTGCGGCATCTGAAGCAGGGCTACCATCAGATGAAGAGACAGTTGCACCATGTCTCAAGGTCGCTCAGTGATTTCCAGAACGAGACGACCGTATTTCACGACTCTCTCCTGAAGAAGGCAGGTATGTCGAATCGAGAGAATTCGTGTGATTTCTGTATCAGAGAGAAGAATAAACTGGAAAAAGTACTACAGACGTGTGACGCTACCACTGCCAATCTCAAATCTCAAATTACGACATTGAAGGAGACACATCAGTCTCAAATATCAAAGCTGACATCAAATGTCACGGTGTCTCCTTCTACCCCCGCTCCTCTAGATGTTACACCAACCTCCAGGACATCTGTGTCAACAAAGACACTCAGACCAGAGGAGGAGAAAAGTAGGATTTTGATTGCTCCAATTTGGTCAAGTACCCCACATCAGTTCCGTCAAGTCAACATTCACAGTAACTCCCTGAGTGTCTATCAGTACCACACCATGAAGGAGGTCACATGTATTGCATATACAACAAAGACAAGGAAACTTCTCATAGGGCTACGCACCACGGATAAGATAGTGTCATCTACCCTGGACACACGTCACGTGACGGTATTAAGAGAACGTGTAGAGACATATGGCATGGCAGTGGATGAAGATCGGGACATCGTATTTATAGCCACCTTTCAACCACAACGCTCAATCAGCCGCATGTCTACACAGGGGAAAGACTTCACTGCCATCATTGACTTATCCAAGTACGGTGGTGATCCAAGGCAAATAACTCTTGACACAAAGAGGATATATGGGGTGTAACAGCGGGAAACTGTTCACTGTGACATATGATGGTCAAGGTCTGACAACATTAGCCACAGGAAGCCGAATGTATGCTGTAACCCTGGATCAGACAGCAGGTGTGTTGTATTATAGTGTACAGAAGAAACTGATGAAGATGACTGTGTCCAATAATGTGAGTACAGAGGTGACCACACTGAACGCCGTCCCCTGGAACCTGAGACTGTATAGAGGCACCATCTACTACAGTAGCTATCGGTCTCCTATTGTAGGTGCAGTTGATGTGACATATAACACTGTGACATATACTCTCCAGTCAGTCAGTATGAAGGGAACAAGTACTAACTGTATGTGTTTGATTCCCTAAGTGTATCAATCGCATCGTGTTTTCTCTCTATATTCCGATCTCATCCACCCTGGGAAACTGATTTTAAGATTACATATTTCATACAGCATGTAGCCTATGTTGCCATGTTAGTTTGCTGTAGGTTTCATCAATAAATATCTTGTTACAGTTTTATGGCTACTATCTCTGCTTCCAACCTACAAAAAAACAATGCTTCATTATCCATTACCTCCGCTAATCTTTATGTATCTTGAAACAGGGTAGGAAAATAGAATGTTTCGTTTCTAATAGGCTTTTAGTTTGGAATGGAGATAGTGTTACTTTCAGTATAGCGGTATTTCACTTGTGGATTCAACAGTTAGTTATCATCTGATTGAATATCAAACCTGAGGGCAATAGGATTAAACGTACAGCCGTGAACCTGTATCGGTGAGGAACATTATAAACAGTCAACACATAGAACACTATGTGTGTATATTTGTAAGTGTGTGTGCGCATGCGTCTGTATATGTGTATGTGTCATATTAAAAGCACTGTATGTACAGATCCTTCAGCAGTCAGTTGTTTGTTATGTTTTTAGCAGCAATACTCAACTGGTTGATTCAGACATTACATGAAGTATTTTCATTTACTTCTCGCTGTACCCGTGAAGATCGGGATAAGAATTGGCCTTCAGCAATCCATGTTTGTCGTACGAGACAACTAATGGGATCAGGTGATCAGACACGCTGACTTGGTTGATACATGAAAGCGTATCCCGATTATGTAGATCGATGCTCATGATGTTGATCACTGGATTGTCTGGTCCAGAGCCGATTGTTTGCAGACCGCCGCCGACATATATCTTGAATATTGCTGATATGGCGATAAACAAACCAAAAAAAGAACAAGCCATAATTATAACGGTGACTAGTGAATAATCGATTCCGGGCCAGACAACCCTTTGATAGATATCACGAGAAATGATTAAAGCCGCCAAGGCTTTCCATGCCATGCATTCAGCCATGTCACTGAGCCTTCCCACTGGATCCACAGTTAGTTCTCGACGCAAATAGCAGTTTTACAATTGCTGGTTGTCGTTAGCAGTCCTCACTCACTCGCTCACTTGTCCCATGAACCTTACAAACGGGACTGTCTTCCTACATTAAGTAGGGGTGAAACGGTATACCGAGGTAGTTTGCCTTCTATTCGGCATACCGTAATGCAGTCCAAAATTCGGTATTTTCAGTTTTCGTACCTTTATTTTATTGTGATCTGCATTGTGATCCTATCTCATTTACCTAACCAAACCGGACTGAACCGAAGTACCGCAATCCATACCGTGCCATGGAAAGAGCGTACCGTGGTAAGAGCGTACCGTGGTAAGAGCGTACCGTGGTAAGAGCGTACCGTGCCGTGGTAAGAGCGTACCGTTTCACCCCTAGCATTAAGGCAACGGTTCAGAGCTCCACATTACAACAACACCGCGACAGCGATGTGGGGACATTTGCTTGGGGCCACATTTTAAACCCATATTATTGCAGCTGATCGATGTAGTAATCTTGTCATCTATCAAATACAGACATATTGTTTGAGTAATATAGGAAAAAAGATATCGATTGAATAGACATAAACTTCAGATCATCAGTTTCAAAAGGTCTAAGCCCAACAACCTCCCTAGACTTCGGTAACAAGCGAGTCACACCCAACAACCTCCTTTGACGTCCGTAACATACAGGTTACACCCAACAACCTCCTTTGACTTCCGTAATGTACAGGTTACACCCAACAACCTCCCTTGACTTCGGTAACATGCAAGTCACACCCAACAACCTCCCTAGACTTCGGTAACATGCAAGTCACACCCAACAGCCTCCCTTGACTTCCGTAACATACAGGTTACACCCAACAACCTCCCTTGACTTCCGTAACATACAGGTTACATCAAACAACCTCCCTTGACTTCGGTAACATACAGGTTACACCCAAGAACCTCCCTTGACTTCCGTAACATGCAAGTCACACCCAACAACCTCCCTTGACTTCCGCAACATACAGGTTAAACCCAACAACCTCACTTGACTTCCGCAATATATAGGTTACACCCAACATCCTCCCTTGACTTCGGTAAGATGCACGTTACAGCCAACAACCTCCCTAGACTTCCGTAACATACAGGTTACACCCAACAACCTCCCTTGACTTCGGTAACATGCAAGTCACACCCTACAACCTCCCTAGACTTCGGTAACATGCAAGTCACACCCAACAACCTCCCTTGACTTCGATAACATGCAAGTCACACCCTACAACCTCCCTTGACTTCCGTAACATGCAGGTTACACCCAACAAGCTCCCTTGACTTCCGCAACATACAGGTTACACCCAACAACCTCCCTTCACTTCCGTAACATACACGTAAATTAAAAGTATCTGTCTGCTTCAGGTATGTTTCCTGCAGACAGAAAGTTGATGGTGCAAAATCTTGGACTAATAGCTGTAACTCATTAAAATTAATCCTCTACAGTTCCACTGTACTATATTTTTTGGAATGGACTATCTTTTAGGTGGGATGATTGGGCTTCTACCCTGCACTTTTGTAGTGGGCGACAAGCTGTGTGCACTTGAGTGAGAGTGTTCGGACACTTCCATGTCCTAGTGAACCATAGTTATTATAGAGTTGAACTTGGTTGTCTGATCCCTTTGAGACTCTGCCACTTTGAAGTTTTTTAGTTGAATCTGGCCTTGGTTTCGTTTTGCTTTTAACGGCCTGTTGGACATTTGCAGTTGATTGAGATGGTGATTTATCCTGTGGTATAGATGTTTCACGATTACCCAGAGACTAAGATTGGATTTGGGATGAAGTTATAACTGTTGTTTGAGTTGATTGTTCTGGTGTCCGTGAAAACTTCTCGGGAGTAGTAGTTTTCACCCATGTCAAATCTGTTTGACAGGTTATTGACGTTGTTAGGACTTTGGACTGTTTGGGGGTTGTATCAGATAACGTTCTGGTGATTGACGCATATGTTTCGGTCTTTCTGGGGTTTGTACGAGTGTTTTAGCTTCTGCAAAACTGATGTTTTTAGTGAATTTAATTTTATTAATCTCCATCTGCTGTTTCCACATCGGGCATTCCTTAGAGGAAGATGAGTGTGTTCCAAAGCAGTTGGTGCACTTTTTAAAGTTGCTGTCACAATCGTTCGTCACATGCGTCTTCTCACTGCAGTGAGCGCATGTAACAGACAATGTGCAGGTGTTCAAACCGTGGCCGAACTTCTGACATTTGAAACATCTGAGAGGGTTGGGAGTGTATGTGCCAACCCTGATATTGCAGTAACCTGCCTTTATTGATTGAGGAGCATTTGGAGACGAAAAAGAAAAGGGGTAGGTGTTTGTTTGATGGATTTTTGAGTTTTACGGGTGGTAAACCGTTTTACATTTCTGAGACTATATCCAGTACTGTCATGTCAACGAACAATCGATCCCGTTGTACAATACCTTTGCTGGTGTTAAGAGTACGGTGCGCAGAAACTGAAACAGGTATACCAACAAGTGATTCAAGGGGAAGGAGTTTGGATGCTTGCTGTCGTTTGCTACATTCGATTAACAAAGCACCTGAACGCAAGCGTTTAATGTTTTTCACGTCTCCTGCAATGCCATGAATGCCTTTAGAGACTGCAAACGGATTTAATTTCAGAGGCATTTGATCCATAGTCTCAATCACTGTAAACCAGTAATCAATAGACTGTGAAGGTCGCTGTTCATCATCGTTGTCAAGTGGACGTTTAGTTTTTTAGAGTGAGTTTCGTAAGCCATATTGAATGTATATTGTTTCATCATCCGAGCTCCCCATCCACCACGGAGTATCATAAAGATAGTGCTAATAACAAGTGGATCTCCAACTTGCAGCACCAGGGATACCCGGATGATATACTCCAGCAGAAAGATTAAACAAGTAATCAGTCTACCAGATTGGCCCAAGAGCCACCGCCTTCTGGCACCAGTATCTTGGCAAATTTTATCAAATTTGAAAATTCATATTTCATACAATATATACACAAAACCAAACATGTCAATATTGTGTCCAAATAAATCCAAGCCAATAAATTATAGAGCAACGAAATGTAGTGCTCAGGGCTCGGCATGACCAGCCGATTGGTTGAATCGGGCCCATTCAACCACCCGTCTAGGTGAAGTAAGGGGCGAAGTGGTGTGTTGAGCAAAGGAACACTGTTCCTAGATCCAGTGCCCTCAACCACCAGACTCCCGTCCTCCACCGACACAAGGGGCGCAACCACGGCAAACGGTCCACAACGGTGGGTCGAAGAGCTCTTGGCGTTACCCAGCACCCACTACGAGGAGGTCGCTCTTCACGGGTGCCGTATTGGGTAGGACAAAGTCAGAGTACAAACCAACAAACCTCACTACTGAGTGTTAAGGTAGTGAGGTAAGAGCGCCATCTGACGAGCTTCCGAACAGTTTGGCCATGAGTTATAAAATACCCATGATGTCAGAGTCTCCATGTGTAACGCGAACCAGTTATGCTGGACTTTGTATTCATCATGCCAAGGTTTGTTTATCACAAGGCTATTCGTAAACACGGTAATGACACTATCTCAAGGCTGAAGTAGGTGTACAGTTAGGGAGGGGTGACATGTATTAGAGTTGAAGGTAGCAGTCACGATGTGTGCACTTGTATCACGCGCGTGAAATATACGTGTATATGCACGTGTAAGTTTGTTCTAGCGAGAGTGTCTTTGTGTGTCCATGTGTGTAGGTGTCTCTGTCCATGTATGTATGTATGTATGTATGTATGTATGTATGTATGTATGTATGTATGTATGTATGTATGTATGTATGTATGTATGTATGTATGTATGTATGTATGTATGTATGTATGTATGTATGTATGTATGTATGTATGTATGTATGTATGTATCACGCGCGTGAAATATACGTGTATATGCACGTGTAAGTTTGTTCTAGCGAGAGTGTCTTTGTGTGTCCATGTGTGTAGGTGTCTCTGTCCATGTATGTATGTATGTATGTATGTATGTATGTATGTATGTATGTATGTATGTATGTATGTATGTATGTATGTATGTATGTATGTATGTATGTATGTATGTATGTATGTATGTATGTATGTATGTATGTATGTATGTATGTATGTATGTATGTGATTATGTGCATGCGTGTACGTGTGTGTGTGTGTGTGTGCGTCTGCGGGTATCTGTATGTGTGTGCCTGTGTCTGTGTGATTGTGTCTGTGTTTCTGTGTGTACGTGTGTTATTCCCATTTTATCCCTTTAAATACTGAGAGTACATTAAGCATCGTGGTATTGCCTATTCACTAGCTAAACCATTGCATAGAAGATGGAAGAATGTATCTATATCAGACAACATGCTCTCCTGGTGATATTTACATGAGTTATGATACTAGGAATGCAAGAGTGTTTCATGTTCTGACTGACTTTATAGTATAGTTACACATACAGCCTTTGGAATAACTATTCACTTCCTGGTTTGATTATTGTTACTCTTTTCAATGCAAGGAACCCTGACAGATGACGCATTTGATGAAGAACTTGTCACTAAACTGAGAGTGATAAACCCTGACCCCGTTTGGAGTCGTAATGGTTAGTTTAAGGCACTACTGTGAAACTCGCATGGACCTGAGGGAGGTGTGTGTACGTGTGTGTGTGTGTGTTTGTGCGTCTCTCTCTCTCTCTCTCTCTCTCTCTCTCTCTCTCTCTCTCTCTCTCTCTCTCTCTCTCTCTCTCTCTCTCTCTCTCTCTCTCTCTCTCTCTCTCTCTCTCTCTCTCTCTCTCTCTCTCTCTCTCTCTCTCTCTCTCTCTCTACGTTGTTTAGGGGTGACCTGGCATGGTTGTTTTCACCAACTACATGAGTACTAATGATAGAGCTATGTGAGGGAGGTATGTGTACGTGTGTGTGTGTGTGTTTGTTTGTGCATGCGCGCGCGCGTGCGTTCGTATGTGTGTGTGCGCGCGTGCGTTCGTATGTGTGTGTGCGCGCGTGCGTTCGTATGTGTGTGTGCGCGCGTGCGTTCGTATGTGTGTGCGCGTGCGTGTCTGTATGTATGTGTGTGTCTCTGAGTGTGTGTGTCTGTCTGTGTGTTTGGCTGTGTCTGTCTCTCTCTCCCACTCTCTCTCTCTCCCTCCCTCTCTCTCTCTATCTCTCTCTCTCTCTCTCTCTCTCTGTCTCTCTGTCTCTCTCTCTCTCTCTCTCTCTCTCTCTACGTTGTTTATGGGTGACATTGCATGGTTGTTTTCACCAACGTGACTACATGAGTACATTGATTGTGCAATGCAACCTGACATCCTTAAATCACTAATGATAGACCTGTGTTCCACATATTATATACATAGAGATGCGTGAGTGTTCTGACATATCACGTGGTAACCAACCGACCTTCAACCCTGATTACGTTCTGGCTACACGGTAGATATAAACCTGTACCTCACGTCAACCTGTCACTCGCAGGATACGTCGAACCATACGGAGGGCTTCATGTATACATTATTCTAACGGACAAGGAAATCTCACAGGCTTTTGTACAGACCACAAGATGGCCGAGTTCAAATACATGTCATGGTTGCTGACATCTATCTCCCTAATCTGTTTTTGTAGTGGTCAGGACAGTATTAGGGTCTGTCCTAAACAAACTGGACATGTTGAAAAGTCAGGTTGTCTCTGAATTGCGGCATCTGAGGCAAGGCTACCATCAGATGAAGAGGTAATTACACCATGTCTTAATAATAATAATAATAATGGCACTTATATTGCGCTATATCCACGCCATGAAGGTATGCTCAAAGCGCATTGCCTCAAACGATGGAAACAGAGGCAGTTGAGTTCTCCACAATGGTATGAGTTATGTATCTTTTACGTATAGTGCTTGAAAAGGTAGGATTTAAGACTGGATTTAAAAGTTTCAAGAGATGGAATCAACTTCAGTGATTCGGGTAGAGAGTTCCACTGAGTAGCGGCTGAGACAGAAAAGGATCTGGAGCCGAAAGTTTTAAGTTTGGTTACAGGCACCCGAAGGAGCTGTTGTTGACTACAGCGTAGAGTTCTTGAAGGGACGTATGAGACAGTCAGATCACTCAGATAGGCAGGTCCAGTACCATGGACAGCTTGGTAAGTGAGTGAGAGAATTTTGAAAATGATTCGCTCAGGAATGCGAAGCCAGTGAAGCGAGTTTAGCACTGGTGTGATGTGTGCCTTTATGTTCGTCCGAGTGACCAATCTGGCAGCATAGTTTTGGATGTGCCGCAGACGTCTGATTTGTTGTTTGGTGATTCCATGGAGCAAACTGTTGCAATAGTCTAATCGAGAGAATATCAGAGATCTCACGAGGGAGGCAGCTGCGTCTTTCGTCAGCAAATGTCTGATGGCACTGATGTTCCTCAGGTGGTAATGGCTGACCTTGCAGCAGTGGCTCACGTGATCTTCCATGGACAGCGAGGAGTCAAGGTACACACCGAGGTTCTTGACAGATGACTTGAAGGTGATGTCAGCTGACCCGATAGACAGATGATCCAAAGTACATTTCCGTAACCTGGATAGAGGTCCAAACAAAATCACCTCCGTTTTGTCTGAATTGAGTTTCAGCTTGTTCTTTTCCATCCATGTACTGACATCAGCAATGCACTGTTGCATTGCATGTTTTGCTTCAGATTGACTGATGGGTGTTGGCTTAAAGCTGTTCTGTACTTGCGAGTCATCTGCATAGAAGTGATGAGTTATATGATGTTCTTCAATACACTGACCTAGAGGTGTTGTATAAAGGGTAAAAAAGTATTGGCCCTAACACTGATCCTTGTGGTACTCCACAGAATAATCTGGCTAGAGTGGACATCTCATCACCAATTAGGACTGTCTGTGACCTGTTTGTGAGGTACGACTCAAACCACTGAAGCGGTATCCCTGTGATGCCGAAGGTATTTTCGAGACGATGCAATATTATGCTATGATCTATGGTATCAAAGGCGGATGACAAGTCTAGCAATACCAGCATAGCAATATCCCCCTCTGTCAACAGACATGTGCACACTGTTCATCACACAGTTTAATGCTGTTTCCGTACTGTTGGCCTGTCTATAAGCTGACTGATACTTGTGAAGTAGATCATTTGAGGTCAGGTGGTACAGCAACTGTCTCTTAACTATTTTCTCCAGGATTTTGGATATGAACGATAGGTTGGAGACTGGCCTATAGTTCTTGAGTAGCTGCGGATCTAAATTGGGCTTCTTCAGAAGGGGTTTGACAATGGCTTTTTTAAAATAATCCGGCACAACACCCGTGGATATACTGACATTGATTATATCTGTGATGGTGGGTAGGAGAACGTCCAGGATCTTCAACATGAACTTGGTGGGTAGAGGATCTAGGCTGCACGATGTTGGTTTGGCCTCGAGGATGGTTTTGCGGACTTCATTTTCTGTTACAACCCGGAATGAACTAAACTTGGTGCCCGTGTATTGAGGAGATGGTTCGTTGTCCATATCAGAATCAAACTGTTGGCGGATGTTGCTGATCTTGTCCAGAAAGTAGCTGTAAAATTCTGATGCTAGGTGAGCATCTGCACCATGAGGAAGTGCTGCAATTGACTGTTTTCCGAGTAAACCGTGTAGGATAGAAAACATCTTCTGTGGATTATTAGAACTGCCTGTGAGTTCAGCATTGTCTTAACATCACTCAGTGATTTCCAGAACGAGGCGACCGTATTTCACGAATCTCTCCCGAAGAAGGCACATGTGTGGAATCAAGATAATTTCAGAGATATCTGTATGAGCGATAAGCATAAACTGGAAAAAGTACTTCAGACGTGTGACGCTACCAATGCCAATCTCAAATCTCAAATTACGACATTGAAGGAGACACATCAGTCTCAAATATCAAAGCTGACATCAAATGTCATGGTGTCTCCTTCTACCCCCATCCTCTAGATGTTACACCAGCCTCCAGGACATCTGTGTCAACAACGACACTCAGACCAGAGGAGGAGAAAAGTAGGATTTTGATTGCTCCAATTTGGTCAAGTACCTCACATCAGTTCCGTCAAGTCAACATTCACAGTAACTCCCTGAGTGTCTATCAGTACCACACCATGAAGGAGGTCACATGTATTGCATATACAACAAAGACAAGGAAACTTCTCATAGGGCTACGCACCCCGGATAAGATAGTGTCATCTACCCTGGATAATGACTGACTGAGTTTAGTTTTACACGTCACGTGACGGTATTAAGAGAACGAGTACGGACATATGGCATGACAGTGGATGAAGATCGGGACATCGTATTTATATCCACCTACAGCCCACGGTACTCAATCAGCCGCATGTCTACACAGGGGAAAGACTTCACTGCCATCATTGACTTATCCAAGTATGGTGGTTCTCCAAGGCAACTAGCTCCTGACACAAAGAGAAGGAGGATATATGGAAGTAATGAAGGGAAACTGTTCACTGTGACATATGATGATCAAGGTCTGACAACATTAGCCACAGGAAGCCAAGTGTATGCTGTAACCCTGGATCAGACAGCAGGTGTGTTGTATTATGGTGTAGAGAAGAAACTGATGAAGATGACTGTGTCCAATAATGCGAGTACAGAGGTGACCACACTGTACGCCGTCCCCTGGAACCTGGGACTGTATAGAGGCACCATCTACTACAGTAGCTATGATTCTCCTATTGTTGGTGCCGTTGGTGTGACATATAACACTGTGGCATATACTCTCCAGTCAGTCAGTATGAAGGGAACAAGTACTAACTGTATGTGTTTGATTCCCTAAATGTATTTATCGCATCGTGTTTCCTCTCTATATTCCGATCTCATCCAACCTGGGAAACTGATTTTAAGATGACATATTTCATACAGCATGTAGCCTATGTTGCCATATTAATTTGCTGTAGGTTTCATCAATAAATATCTTGTTACAGTTCTATGGCTACTATCTCTGCTTCCAACTTACAAAAAACAATGCTTCATTATCCATTATATCCGCTAATCTTTATGTATCTTGAAGCAGGGTCGGAACATAGAATGTTTCGTTTCTAATAGGCTTTTAGTTTGGAATGGAGATAGTGTTACTTTCAGTATAGCGGTATTTCACCAGTGTATTCAACAGTTAGTTATCATCTGATGGAATATCAAACCTGTGGGCAATAGGATTAAACGTACAGCAGTACACAACTACATTATAAACAGTCAACACATAGAAAACCATGTGTGTGTATTTGTAAGTGTGTTTGAGCATGCGTCTGTATATGTGTATGTGTCGTATTAAAAGCACTGTATGTACAGATCCTTCAGCAGCCTGTTGTTTGTTATGTTTTTAGCAGCAATACTCAACTGGTTGATTCAGACATTACATGAAGTATTTTCATTTACTTCTCGCTGTACCCGTGAAGATCGTGATTAGAATTGGTCTTCGGCAATCCACGTTTGTCGTACGAGACAACTAACGGGATCAGGTGATCAGACACGCTGACTTGGTTGATACATGAAAGCGTATCCCGATTATGTAGATCGATGCTCATGATGTTGATCACTGGATTGTCTGGTCCAGAGTCGATTGTTTGCAGACGCCGCCGACATATGTCTTGAATATTGTTGATATCGCAATAAGCAAACAAACAAAAGAACAAGCCATAATTATAACGGTGACTTGTGAATAATCGATTCCGGGCCAGACAAACCTGTGATAGATATCACGAGAAATGATTAAAGCCGCCAAGGCTTTCCATGCCATGCATTCAGCCATGTCACTGAGCCTTCCCACTGGATCCACAGTTAGTTCTCGACGCAAATAGCAGCTTTACAATTGCTGGTTGTCGTTAGCAGTCCTCACTCACTCGCTCGCTTGTCCCATGAACCTTACAAACGGGACTGTCTTCCTGCATTAAGTAGGGGTGAAACGGTATACCGAGGTAGTTTGCCTTCTATTCGGCATACCGTAATGCAGTCCAAACATTCGGTATTTTCAGTTTTCGTACCTTTATTTTATTGTGATCTGCATTGTGATCCTATCTCATTTACCTAACCAAAACGGACTGAACCGAAGTACCGCAATCCGCACCGTGCCGCGGTAAGAGCGTACCGTGGTAAGAGCGTACCGTGCCGAGGTAAGAGCGTACAAGATCACTACAACAGCGATGTGGGGACATTTACTTGGGGCCACATTTTAAACCCATATTATTGCAGCTGATCGATGTAGTAATCTTGTCATCTATCAAATACAGACATATTGTTTGAGTAATATAGGAAAAAAGATATCGATTGAATAGACATAAACTTCAGATCATCAGTTTCAAAAGGTCTAAGCCCAACAACCTCCCTAGACTTCGGTAACAAGCGAGTCACACCCAACAACCTCCCTAGACTTCGATAACACACAGGTTACACCCAACAACCTCCCTTGACTTCGGTAACATACAGGTTACACCCAACAACCTCCCTAGACTTCGGTAACATGCAGGTTACACCCAACAACCTCCCTTGACTTCCGTAACATACACGTTACACCCAACAACCTCCCTAGACTTCGGTAACATGCAGGTTACACCCAACAACCTCCCTTGACTTCCGTAACATACACGTTACACCCAACAACCTCCCTGGATTTCCGTAACATGCAGGTTACACCCAACAACCTCCCTGGACTTCTGTAACATGCAGGTTACACCCAACAACCTCCCTTGACTTCCGTAACATGCAGGATACACCCAACAACATCCATTGACTTCCGTGGCTTGCAAGTCACACCTAACAACCTCCCTTGACTTCCGTAACATGCAGGTTACACCCAACAACCTCCCTAGACTTCGGTAACATACACGTTACACCCAACAACCTCCCTAGACTTCGGTAACATACACGTTACACCCAACAACCTCCCTAGACTTCGGTAACATGCAAGTCACACCCAACAACCTCCCTAGACTTCCGTAACATGCGAGTCACACCCAACAACCTCCCTAGACTTCGGTAACATACACGTTACACCCAACAACCTCCCTAGACTTCGATAACATACAGGTTACACCCAACAACCACCCTAGACTTCGATAACACACAGGTTACACCCAACAACCACCCTTGACTTCCGTAACATACAGGTTACACCCAACAACTTCCCTAGACTTCAGTAACATACAGGTTACACCCAACAACCACCCTTGACTTCGGTAACATAGAGGTTACACCCAACAACCTCCCTAGACTTCAGTAACATACAGGTTACACCCAACAACCACCCTTCGACTTCGGTAACATACAGGTTACACCCAACAACCTCCCTAGACTTCAGTAACATACAGGTTACACCCAACAAACACCCTAGACTTCGATAACACACAGGTTACACCCAACAACCACCTTTGACTTCCGTAACATACAGGTTACACCCAACAACTTCCCTAGACTTCAGTAACATACAGGTTACACCCAACAACCACCCTTGACTTCCGTAACATACAGGTTACACCCAACAACTTCCCTAGACTTCAGTAACATACAGGTTACACCCAACAACCACCCTTGACTTCGGTAACATACAGGTTACACCCAACAACCTCCATAGACTTTGGTAACATGCAGGTTACACCCAACAACCTCCCTTGACTTCGGTAACATACAGGTTACACCCAACAACCTCCCTTGACTTCCGTAACATACAGGTTACACCCAACAACCTCAATTGACTTCAGTTACATGCAAATCACACCCAACAACCTCCCTTGACTTCCGTAACATACACGTTACACCGAACAACCTCCCTAGACTTCGGTAACATGCAAGTCACACCCAACAACCTCCCTTGACTTCCGTAACATACACGTTACACCCAACAACCTCCCTTGACTTCCGTAACATGCAAGTCACGACCAACAACCTCCCTTGACTTCCGTAACATACAGGTTACACCCAACAACCTCCCTTGACTTCCGTAACATACACGTTACACCCAACAACCTCCCTTGAATTCCGTAACATGCAAGTCACACCCAACAACCTCCCTTGAATTCCGTAACATACACGTTACACCCAACAACCTCCCTTGACTTCCGTAACATGCAAGTCACACCCAACAACCTCCCCAGACTTCGGTAACTTGCAAATTACACCCAACAACCTCCCTTGACTTCCGTAACATACAGGTTACACCCAACAACCTCCTTTGACTTCCGTAACATGCAGGTTACACCCAACAACTTCCCTTCACTTCCGTAACGTATACATTACACCCAACAACCTCCCTAGACTTCGGTTACATGCAAGTCACACCAAACAACCTCCCTAGACTTCGGTTACATGCAAGTCACACCCAACAACCTCCCTTGACTTCCGTATCATACACGTTACACCCAACAACCTCCCTTGACTTCCACAACATACACGTTACCCCCAACAACCTCCCTTGACTTTCGTTACATGCAAGTTACACCCAATAACCTCCCTTGAATTCCGTAACATACACATTACACCCAACAACCTCGTTTGACTTCCGTAACATGCAGGTTACACCCAACAACCTCCCTTGACTTTCGTAACCTGCAGGTTACACCCAACAACACTCCCTTGACTTCCATAACGTACAGGTTACACCCAACAACCTCCCTTGACTTCCGTAACACGCAAGTTACACCCAATAACCTCCCTTGACTTCCGTAACATGCACGTTACACCCAACAACCTCCCTTCACATCCTTAACATGCAGGTTACACCCAACGACCTCCCTTGACTTCCGTTACATGCAGGTTACCCCCAACAACCTTCCTTGACTTTCGTAACATACAGGTTACACCAAACAACCTCCCTTGACTTCCGTAACATGCAAGTTACACCCAATAACCTCCCTTGACTTCCGTAACATGCACGTTACACCCAACAACCTCCCTTCACTTCCTTAACATGCAGGTTACACCCAACGACCTCCCTTGACTTCCGTTACATGCAGGTTACCCCCAACAACCTTCCTTGACTTTCGTAACATACAGGTTACACCAAACAACCTCCCTTGACTTCCATAACATGTAAGTGACACCAAAAAACCTCCCAAGACTTCAGTAACATGAAAGGTGGCCACTGTTACAACGGATATGAGTGTCTTGTACCCTTCAGTGATATGTCTTAACTCTGATTCAACTACAACAGTGTGTAAAACTGACGTCACTTGATAAAAGGGACCACGCTAGACGCCCTGCACCACAATGAGGTAGGTCTATATTGTGCCACATGCTCATCCACAGAGACATAATTTTACACGTACTGCACTAATGAACCCATATGGATAGATAAGAGGCAACTAAATGTATCTGGAGATCAGGATGGCTGACTTGGTTGACGGATGTCATCGTATCCCAGTAGCGTGGATGAATGATCAGTAGCTAAATTACATTGTCCAGACTCGATACTTAACAGACAGCCGTTATCCAGGTGGGGTATTGGTTAGGACAAAGTCAGGGTACAGACCAACAAACCTCACTAGTGAGTGTCAAGGTAGTGAGGTATGAGCGCCATCTGACGAGCCTGTAAACAGTTGGCCTATGAGTCCTAAAATATGCATGATGTCAGAGTCTCCAGGTGTAACGCGACCCAGTTACGATGGACTTTGTATTCCTCATGTCAAGGTTTTCTCTGATAAGAGCATGAAAACAAGACTGAAGTACGTTTACAGTTAGTAATGGGGATTGAAGGTAGGGGTCAAGATGTGTGCACTTATATCACGAGAAAGCTACGTGTGCGTGTGTACCTTGCACGTTTGTATGCGCGCGACCGCCTCCGTGGTGTACTGTTTTAGAGCCTCCGCCTGGAGCGAAATAGTCTCAATTACGACGTTAAACCCCATTTCACCTCACCTCAACTACTCGGGACCACAATTTATACCCACAATAGGACAGCTCTTCAATGTAGTCGGGGCGGTGGGGTAGAATAGTGGTTAAAGCGTTCGCTCGTCACGCCGATGACCCGGGTTCATTCCCCATATGGTTACAATGTGTGAAGCTCATTTCTGGTGTCCTCCGCTGTGATATTGCTGGAATACTGCTAAAAACTTAACTCACTCACTCACTCACTTAATGTAGTAATCTTCTCAGTTATCATGGTATACATGCCCATCGTCATATGAGCTAAATATTCTCATGTACTACGTCAAGAGGGCAGCTCTTCAATGTAGTAATCTTGTCCGTTATCAAATATAGACAGATTGTTGGAGAAATTTAGGAAATAAGATATATTGACGAAGTTGATTTATGTGTTGAAAAGTGCATTTATTGTTGCATGTTTCAATCTCTGGAATACTTTGGGGCAATGGCATATATATGTTGCTGTCTTTAAAGACATATATGATTATTCGTATATATGTGATTTGGGAATCGTATTGCTATGAAATTTTGTCAAACTACGTGTTTTCCTTTTACTTTGATATTACAAAAACAAGGGATATCCCAAGAATTAAAGCAGTAAAAATCGCATTTTGCAACTAAAACATACTGCGGCGGTGTTAACTGAGACAAGCAGTATGATTGTAACGCTCTAGTTTAGCGTAGGGAGGCCTTGGGATCCTGAAGCTGAGATCCTGAGTCCCGATCCACAAAACGCTCTTAGCGTTACGACATCGTAAGCCGATGATAAGCTATACGGTTACGACAGGTCGTACCGATACAAACGCTTTACGGATCAGGACCCTGATCCTAGTTTGAAGCTGATGCACAGACAGGATGTCATAACTACGAAATACTGTAAGGGATATCATCGTGCTACATATATGACTGTAAGAGTTTGGCTTGATGTCAATGAAATTTAACAGGTAAAACATGTGAAGCCAACAAGACTTGAACCAAATTTACAAGAATTACCAATTTGAGTCGACATGCTTGTCTTCCAGTTCTGCCCCAAAGGTGATTCTGTACCAGATATCGAGAGGACCAAGGGCGCCAAGTTTCTCCCCATTTGCTCTCAAGTTGGAGACCTTTCTTCAAATGGCGAGAATAGAATATCAGGTCAGTGAGGTTAATCAAAGATATTTTTGGGCAGTTTGGCAGACTAAAATGGATAGTCGCTTGCTCTTATTCAGTAGTCTCCAACACAAGCATATATATATGTTCTAATCTAGGTCGCATTTCCATTGGCCTGTATAACAGGGACTGTTGTTTACTTACAAACCACACACACACACACACACACACACACACACACACACACACACACACACACACACACACACACACACACACACACACACACACACACACACACACACACACACACACACACACACACACACACACACACACACACACACACACACACACACACACACACACACACACACACACACACACACACACACACACACACACACACACACATACATACATACATACAAAGTAACCCATATAGTTTTTTTTCAGGCGCACATTTTCATACGCTTTGAAAATTGAACGTCATGCGAGAATTGCGCTCGCGTGGTCCTGTATCTACGTAAGGCTATAAAATTACACAGAAATGTAGAATATTAAATTTTCTATCCGTTAGTATAGATATAAGTGCAACTACCTCGGCGGTTTGAGAAATAGACCTTGCTAAATGTTGTCCAAATTTTTGTTATGCGTTAAAAAACAGTAAATTTCTCCGCTTTTTATCGCGCACTGATAAAAGCACTGTGCTACGAATTTTATTTTGGCATATTTACGGAAAGTGTGAACGAAGAAAATACAGCCTGATATCTGAACGACATAATTGTATATGAATTGGATTTATGTGCTTATGCATAACATTATGCGCTCAACATTAAAAATGACTCGCAATAAATGTCAAAAATGGATTTTCTTCTATGACGTCAAACGACGACAGAGAGGTCATACACATATAATGATAAGGGTGCATAACTCTGTTATCCGTAACACTAGGTCAATGTAACTCAGATCACATGGAGAGAATTTGTTGTGGATATGGACGCTATATTTTCGTTATTTTTTGTTTACGGTGAACTAAACTATTCCAATTCAAAGTTCCTCAATATGAGAGGATACGCTTTGGTAGTTTCACAATTTATAAAAAAAGATGACAACGTATTACATGTGAAAGCACGTCATAACGATTTGGATGGCCTTCTCCGATATATAAGTTAGTTCTTAGATTCCCATATTGTCCTGTTTGTGTAGATGTATTTTGACTAATTTTGCATCGTTATTACCAGAGTACTAGCCATATCTTCAAACGTAATGAAATTTCTGAAAATAATACAACATTTTAGTTGACATCATTGCTTGTTTTGTGCATTTTGCGACGTCGGAAAAAGACGACATTGGTATGCTGATTAGTATATATCTCACCTAATTTCCATTAATTGTGTGAAAGTCTCGGCTTTTTGTCAGAATTAACTCTCTTTAGACAAAACATAAAATGACTGGTTTTTCCATTTAAACAGTGTCCTGAATATATCAACAATTAGACAGTTTGACTGTGTATCTTATCATGAGCAACACGCGCACCTGTTTGGCATCAATTTAACGTAAATGAAAAATAACATTTCACAACACCCGAATATTTTGTTTAGGATAAGAATTTTCTTTATTTATGATTATGTAGCTATTTCTTTTCATAAGTATGCAATGGAAGATGCAAAAAAGATAGCTTTTTATATATGGATCTAGTACGTACTATATATTGGAATATGGATGTAAGATTTGTCCAAATTAAGACATGACATGGTTTATATATTTTTAAACAATTTTCGTATAAATATAGTTAGAGTTTGATATCATGTCATCACAATATTTTTAAATCGAATATGAATTGATTATATTATCGAAAACAATGATAGTGAATCATAAAACGTTTCCGACAAACGCGCACCTGGCCAATCAATATACATCATTGTTTTCTCTATAAAACGACACAAAAATGTGCAAAGAACAAGACAATTCCTTTAAATATGTGTGCATATACATTTCGTAACATACCTAAATCATTTTCATTAAATACTATCAGTTTTACTTATAAGGTTTAATCAAATCGCCGTTCATTAACCTGTTCATGTGAAACTGCAATATTAGTTCAAATGCATTGAATAGTGTACATCATAGGAACTAAAGTAATTGCAGTTATGGCTACGTTTGATCTTCTAACACTTGTGTAAAGGTTTAGAATATAATGTACTACACTAAATGTGTCAATTTCTTATGTAAATATTATTCAAACAATCAAAAACTTTCAAAGTATAAAACACCGTAAACCTATATGCACGTATGATATGATATTGGACAAGGCTAAATGTAGATACTGAGGTCAGTTTCATGAAAAAGTATGCATCATAATACTGACAGTGTAATCGGAAGGATTTGGCGATTGTGTTTACTCTTGTTCAACCGACCTTCACCTCAAATAAATTGTCTAATATGTACACCAATGTTGACTTATGGCATCACTACCGATGACCAATTTCTTACAAAATGGCGGCTTTGCTGACAAGGATACACAGGACTTTGCGAGGACCCTTCCATTGATTCAGTGATCGTTTGTGCATAACTATGACATGTAAGTAATCAGAATGATTCTGACTATCTGTGTATTGTTATATTTTTATCGTTTTCACTGAAAGTAAGAGAAGAAGCCAGAAATGCTGATAATTACACTTGCGTGATTTTGCGTCAGTCATGGCGTCACGCTGCACGGAAACTTTGACAATTTCTTATGAATTATCAAATCATTGCATTGTATCTATTTATAATTTCATATTTCTTACTACGATACTCTTTCCATGTATATTCCAAAGGTATTGAGCTATTGCAAGCAATGAATAGACGGATGAATGTTGGAACATTTCAGAAAATGCTACGCAGTGTAAAATCGGAATTTGTCTTTGTTTACATTTCGAACCAGCGCAGTCTTTCGAGCACAGCGTTCGTTTTCACACCCAATATGTTTCCTCTCATTTTATCTGGACAGTTGGTATTGGTGACAAAGACCAAATGCAATTTGATTCTAAAAGGTATGGGAAATTCGGTGATGCATTTTTCGAAGCTGAATATGAAATATACGTGATGTAATAGGCGTCTCAATACCGGCCTTCGCGATACGTGATTTTGTAAACACTGTCCAATATGGCGGAAAGCGCTCTACGGCGTTCGTGTAAGTGTATTTTCGAAAACATCCCATCCGATTCTAGATTCATCGACAACGTTTCAGAATTTTCATTAGCGATTTCATGTAAAAGTGATATCAGTGTTCATTAATATGTTATTTTTGAAATTCAATACTCTCAGTAATTATCAGATTTTCACATTTCAAAACATACAGCAAATAACGCTGTGAATCGCGATTTCGTACTGTGTCAAAAATGGCGACATTTTCGATGAAGCCTATTTTGAAAGTTCATTTTCAGCACTTGAACTTTGTCTAAAATAATAGTGGATGATCAAGAAACAGGAAATTTCCCTCAGAATTCGAAACGATGAAGTGTATTTACTATTTGTGTGCGTGGGATATTTTGCTTTTTATTGGACTTGAAATTGAGGGTCCCTGTGGCATCCAGGGGGTTAACTGTAATCACTTCTCCCTGAAGATAAAAGTGAAACATGTTGGAGAAGATCCGTGCCGTGTGATTATTTCAGAACTTCCTATATATGTACTACTGTACGCTCGGTATTCTCATCACTTTCTTTCTATATATATATATACACACACACACACACACACACACACATACATACATACATACAAAGCTGAGTTAGGAGGTAAACAACACACACAGATAATACAAAGAACCCATCCTACAGCTATATAGCGACGATCTGTATATAATCACGCCTGCACCAAACAATCCAGTGATCAACATCATGAACATTCACGTCCATATTTATCATATCATAACATGTCCATATTTATCACATCCCAACATGTCCATATTTATCACATCATAACATGTCCATATTTATCACATCATAACATGTCCATATTTATCATACCATAACATGTCCATATTTATCACATCCCAACATGTCCATATTTATTACATCAAAACATGACCATTATATCCCTGCTGATGATGCCGTCTTACAGCTGTAATATTGTTGAGTCTCATCACTTTTAAATCTTATCATACAACTCGGAGGAAGTACCAAGATATATGTGGTAAATCATTACATATCAGTCTTTGTAGAATGATTTTAGTGTCAAGCGCTCGTCCAAAGGCAACATTCCATGTACCTGTACCTGTGTCGTACAGTCCCTGTTTGTATTGTCCCTCTGCCATATTGTTCCTGTGAAGTATTTTCCCTGTGTCATATTGTCTATGTGCCATATTGTCCCTGTTTCATATTGCCTCTGTGTAATATTGTCCCTCTGCCATATTGTCATTGTGTCGTATTGTCCCTGAGTCAAATTACCCCTCTGTCATATTGTCCTTGTGTCGTATTGTCCCTGTCCCGTGTTGTCCTTGGGTCGTATTGTCCTTATGTCATATTGTCCTTGTGTCGTAGTGTCCCTCTGTCATATTGTCCTTGTGCCATATTGTCCCTGTGTCGTATATGGCCCTGTGACATATTGTCCCTCTGGCATATTGTTCTTGTGCCATATTGTCCCTGTGCCGTATATGGCCCTGTGTCGTATTGTCCCTGTGTCGTATTGTCCATCCGTCATATTGTGCCTCTGTCATATTGTCATTGTGGCATATTGGCCCTCTGGCATATTGTCCTTGTGTCATATTGGCCCTGTGTCGTATATGGCCCTGTGTCGTATTGTCCCTGTGTCGTATTGTCCCTCCGTCATATTGTGCCTCTGTCATATTGTCCCTGTGTCATATTGTCCCTCTGGCATTGTCCTTGTGTCACATTGTCCTTGTGTCATATTGTCCCTGTGACGTATTGTCCCTCTGTCATATTGTTCCTGTGTCGTATTGTCCCTCCATTTCTGGTTTGTCAAAGCGTACAGCATGTGTGTCAATCTTGTTGCCATCTGCTCTCCGTATGGTTTTAGTGTCAGGCAACGGTAGGGTTCGCAAATGTCTATGCGCGGAGTACGGTTCATATGAGTTTTGTAAGCTGAAATACCCTCACTTTATTTAGCAGATGAAAAAGGACATAGGTCACTACTACGATGCATTTATCGTCATAATATACATCTTATGTGATAACCCATGACGTGCCAAAGACAGTTGATGTTTTGACCCCGGCAATGTTTTGACCATTACGCATCTTTGCAGGTGTATGGGCCAGTCCCGGGCTGAGAACCTGGACTACGTGAAGAAACACATCAAGTTGAACAAACTGGTAATCTGGATCGGAACAAGAATTTACCTGAGTAATACGAAAGCTCACGGAATCGGCCGACACACCCATGAGGAAGTGTTGCACATTATGGAGGAAGATTTGAGATCATTATCGGTCTACCTTGGTAAGAGATGTCGTCAATAGCGATGGTTGTAAATAAGGTTTAATGTGACGTTCAAGTTTATTGCCCTTCTATAGCAATGTGCAATTACGTGTTGAACTAGTCTGGACTGGTTCTATTGTGCTGCCCTCTGCGCAATAACGTTGGAGTTTACTATGGATACCGGGCATGCATTGACTCCCAGGTGACCAGTTCTTGTTTTATCTCCTTAATACCAGGCAAGGCAACAACAAGTGTCATCTGTTACTTGTTTTGGCAGCAGGGAATCGGGCCAACGAGTGAGTGAGTATGGTCTTACACCGTTTTCAGCAATAGTCCAGAAATATCACGGCGGGGAAAACGGGAAACGGGCTGTGCACACTGTTCCCATTTCGGGACACGAACCCGAGTCTTCAGTGTGATAGCGTACGCTTTACCCACTCAGCTACCCTACCTCCCGGTCTCGAACCAACGAACTTCCGCCCTCATGGAAGACAATCCATGTACTACAAAACAGTACTCAAATTTCTTTGTTTATTAAGCATCGGTGGTCAAACATTTTAACTCTTTTCATCTGTACAACTTTTCTAATATTGACAGGGACAAAGAAATTCTTTTTCGGCGATCAACCATGTGAGACAGATGCTGCTTTGTTTGGACTGTTGTGCCAGTTTTGCTGGCAGTGTCCAGGAAGCAAAGGGGAACAACTCGTGAACGGTAAATACGTTGCCACAAAGACCTCTGTGGTGCTGTCTGGTCGTTCAGCCCTTAGAGTCCTATATTCATTTGGTCGTAGGTTGACAACCCATGAGAACGTCAACGTTTGTTTGTTTGTTTGTTTGTTTGTTTGTTTGTTTGCACTCAGCAGTATTCCAGCTATAAGGCGGCTGTCCTTAAATGATCGAGTCTGGACCAGACAATCATGTGATCAGCATCATGGGCATCGATCTACGTATTTGGGACACGATGACATACGTGTCGAACAAGTCAACGTGTCCGATCCCGTTAGCCGGGTCTTACGACAAGCATGGGTTGCTGAAGATCAATTCTAATCCAGATCTTCACGGGTGTCTTGACCGTTAGGATTAGAAGTTATTTCTCTGTTTTCCGTTTACTTTAGTTTCGATATATTCCCTATGTACATATAATTCTCTACGAGGTCGGCTAAGAAAAGAATTCTTGCATCCTTTGGTAAGTTTAGGGGGTTATAATGTGAATGAGTGAGTATGGCTTTACGCTGCTTTTAGCAATATTCCGAAAACGACAGGGAACATTGTACCCAAGTGGTGAATCGAACCCGGCTGTTCGACGTGACGAACCAACGCGCTTTAACCACTATGCTACATACCACCCCTGTTACGTATTCGTCACCACTCACCCCTTTCCGTAACCTCCAAGAAGACTCTATTCGTCACCACTCGCCCCTTTCCGTAACCTCCAAGAAGACTCCATTCGTCACCACTCGCCCCTTTCCGTAACCTCCAAGAAGACTCAATTCGTCACCACTCGCCCCTTTCCGTAACCTCCAAGAAGACTCGTCCCCGTCTCGATGCTTGTTATGTGCGAAAATACGACAAACCAATCCGAACGCGCGTAATGGTTGCGGTGCTTTGATAAAAATAAGCCCGACTACTTAAATCGTTTATGGTATTATATTATTGTAGAAAAAATCATAAAAAGGATACATCGTCATTTTGAAAAAACTAAGAACGTAGCTGTCTAATGTGAAGTTTTTATATGGATCATGAGATTGACAGTGAGAGATTCAAATACAAAACCAAAAACAGCAATGCAATGTATGAGTACTTCGGTGATATTAAATACCACTGGAATCAAACATGAATGGAGTTATCGTTCCTGTTTGAAGTAGATCTGATGTTCCTACGCCAATATGAAATCCTTCTAGGGGCCACGAGACGCTATTCGGCTTGTCCCGGAAAAACACGAGTTGGTCACGAATGAAAGCGTACCTGTTTGTGTCAGGGAATTGTGGGACATTTTTAGGGGAATCCCTTATGTTAACACACGTTCGATAATGACATGCTAATAAATGTTTAATACCACCGATTTTAATGGTGTGATTCCCCAAAATTGCTGTAAGAGTTTAATTGATTCAATTTAATTATTATTTGTCGATCGTTACGCAGTCATTCTCCATTGCTTTGATAACTTCAGTGTCAGGAGACATCTTAGGCTATCTCTGCTTTCATTCCTTAGAGAGGCCATTAGTGACTTTGTACATTCCCGTTAAACCACGGAACAGATAAACTAACGAGTACGAGCGTCGAATCGTTACATTTGAACTGTTCAGAGATTATCATGATACGTTGTGCGTGGTTCCCAAAGTGCCATGGTTATAACTTTCAAAAAACGACTGGGAGACATTTCTCACAGTCATACAGTATGTTAAAGTATATACCTACCAGTATGATCACTTTGTCAAACTGGGCCTTCAGCCAGTGATCACAATCAAATAAATAGAATAGAAGTAAATGATACTGACTAAAAGCGTTTCCATTTCAATCTACCATAGATTTATATTTACGGGACATCGGCGCCCGAGAGGATCTGGGTTGGAATTGGTCTTCAGCAACACAGGCTTGTCGTAAAAGGCGACTAACGGGATCGTGTGGTCAGACTCGCTGACTTGGTTGAAACATGGCATCGTATGCCAACTGCGTAGATCGATGCTCATGATCTCAATCACTGGCTTGTCTTGTGACTCGAAAATTAACAGACCGCCGTCATATAACTGGAATATTACCGAGTGCGTCATTAACTGATAAACAAACAAAGCGTAATATTGGCACACCATTGTCATCCTTCGAGTATAACTAATAGTGCCCCGTATTCTCCAGAATTACCAAAACATGTACGCATTTAAGTGGTTCATTTCTAGGGAGAAGTAACGATCTGGCATATCCTTTAGAATGTTTGTTTGTCTTTGACAAATGTTAAGTATAACATTACGACAGAAACTCGTATTTTATGTTACTTATATTGAGAAAAAGGCAAGGGTCTAACTACTATGCTGCCGTTCGGGTTTCTTTCAGACAAGTTCACAAATCTTGTGGAGTATTGCGAGCGAATGAAGGCAACATTTTGGCCGGACTGGGAGGACTGCATCACGGCGGACGGAACTAGAACTGCAACAAAATAACATGAGAACTTAATAAATGGAATGTAACCCAAAGACACCTTAAAAACATATACCTAGGCCGCCAGATAACCTACCGGACAATGATAATTTTACTGCATTTGCATAGTAAATATCGTAGCCAGACAACCAACCTAACCCAAGGCAATCAGTAGTAAATGTTTCTACTGAACAGACAATATCAAATGTTTTCAAGTATTCGATCAAAGATTAATCGTCCAGTATACCAGCAACACCACACACCTTCCACGGCAAAATTGACACCGGCGATATGGCTTTCTTGTCCCCGTTCAAAATAGTCCGGCCGGCCATAGCTCCAATCTCCCGTTCGTGTTGTTGTTGCTAGTGGTTCTTGATGATCGGGGCTCTTATCGTGTCGGTGTATGCGAGGATCTGTTCCCATCTGTACGCGGCACGGTAACAAGCCTGTCATTCTTGAAGTACCCAACAAGCCTTGTTCCTTACTGTCACGGAGTTTCTGACGTTGTCTTGTAGTGAGGTCATTCGATATGCCATACCCTCCTTCCTTCATCACTGGGCTAGCTTTCAGTGCTTCAATCTGATTCTCTGAACTTAGCAGTAAGGGGTCTCGGTCTACTAGCATCCGAGCTTTCAGTATCAAGGCGATGAGCACGAATAATATCACTGGGTGACCATGTCTTAACATGTACATGCTCATTTAGGATGGAGAAGAAAGTATCCTGGCACTGGATATTTCTTTCACCAGGTTTCTCGGCTACGCCACAGGGTATAACATTGTCTCTCGTACTTAAAGCCTCTAGTTTATCCAACTCGTCGTCGACTTTGTCACCTGGTCCTGCACCAAATACATCTTATTGAGCGAGACAGTATCAGCGTTCACCACTTCGATACTCTGGTGCATATTTGTCAATTCGGATTTCAACTCTGCCGTTTGTGATTCCAATTTTCATCTATGTTATGTTACCTCTTTACTTTATTAACTACGTCATTCAGATTTCTATTGATACTTTGTTTAACGATTTTAAATTGGGTAATTAATTCATCTATTGAATCCTTAAGTGATAATGGTACTGGGTTCGAGTCCACGTCATTTGAACATATAATTCTGTGTGTAACAACTTCATCCGACACCGGTCCACCACCAAGCAACACACATCACGATACCCACGTGCAGTGTGATAGGCAACGTGCAGCTGATCAAATTCCAATTTGATGATGTGAACAAACAAAGCAGTTTGAAATGGTGGCTTTTTCGGCAGATAAACAGAAAAGTCCTTTCAGTGAATATAGTTAGCTAGATATGTTGATGCTCCGTATCCCTCCGATAGTGGTAGCGAGCACCTGTGCACAAATAAGAGTCAATATTGAATATCAGAACATCTGACTGTGGGTACCCGTGAAGGTCCGGGTTAGAATATTGATCTTCAGAAACTCATGCTTGTCGTAAGAGGCGACTAACGGGATCGGGTTGTCAGACTCGCTGACTTGGTTGACACATGTCATCGGTTCTCAATTGCGCAGATCGATGCTCATGCTGTTGATCACTGGAGTGTCTGGTCAAGACTCGATTATTTACAGACCGCCACCATATAGCTGGAATATCGTTGAGTGCGGCGTAAAGCTAAACTCACTCACTCACTCTGACTGCGGGTAAGTAGACGACATTCTTGTCAACAACAATTAACTGGGTGCCCCTTGGATTTGTAAAAATCCGATCAATAGATATCAATCGATATTTATGCATTATCCTTATCTTGATTGCTGATAAATAAGACTTGTAACAGTGTGTCATCTGTTTCTGTTTTTACTTGCACATGTATTTGTTTATGGGAGCAGCCTTCAAATAGGCTCCTCGGAGCTTGTTGGCCAATCCATTCATATCTTCATGAATAAATATGTTTAAACCATATCATCTTCCAAATTGAGGACACTAAAGGTTGTTTAAACTCACAGTTAGTACCTCAGTGTCCGATCGTGTCGTTAGGCTCAGTATTTCACACACAGTTTTCGCAATATTTTAGGGCCTATTTGATTATGCTAAACCGGTTTGGGTTTCGGGAAAACCATGCACTCGATTATGTCGAACCTAACACTGGTTTCTGAAAATTCGAAACCATCTCCGAGGCAGGTTTCGCAGTTTCGGTTTCGCGTTCTCTCACAACAAAGATGGCTGAAACGAAAGCGCTAAGTTCAGCTGATCTTGGTGGCCAAATAGAGCAGCAGTTCCTGTGACCAAAATAATGATAAAAATCAACTGAGAACTAGGAAAATATTATCTAAAACCCCAGTCTATTGACAATGACTATTTTATGTAACTTGAATATATATAATGACTTGTAACAGTATAATTACATATACGCAAATATTTACCTCCAAAAGCATCTGACTCTTTTTTTATTTGTTAATCACTGATAAAAAAATTAAATATTATCTTCGGCAATGCTGTCATTCAATTTGTTCCACATATACAGTAGCTGAGACATTTCTTCTGGTATCTATTTTGAAACCGGATGGTGTGACCATCTGCTCGTTTATAAAACTAGAAACTAGTTTCACTTTGACACCATGTAGCCGAAACTAGACACTCGTTTATAACTGGGGAAACCCGTTTCAGAAACCCAAACAAGTTTCGCAATAATCGAACAAGCCCTCTTAAATTGCCATTGGACCGTCAGGGCCTGCTGCCGCCTGCAGACTTTAAAATCTACAGGTCCGGAATGAAATCTGCAGGCCCATTTTGATAAAGTCAAACACACACACCTTACTATCAAAAGCTACGGGAAGTCTACCATTATAAATATAGAACCTTTAATTTCAGTGCACTCGTTTCTCAATTTAAAAGGCAGATTTGATTCAAAATCATGTGTTCATATGACATATATTTTTTAACAATGATTGGCGTTATTTTTCGTTTTTGTAACATGTTTTTATTATTCACATTGTACATTCATCATGACATGATTACTCTTCTAATGTACCCCCAGAGCGGTATTCACATAAGCTTGTGCTTGTTTACCAATCCGGCTCTTTTTCACAGTAAAATATCTTGGTTTCTGAACACCGGAAACCTAAAAGAAAGTAAATGGAAACTTAGGTTTCAATTAGGTTTCTGGACCGTTTCTCTACATTTCCTTCAAGTTTCCGGAAAACGGAAACTTACAAAGTTACCCAGAATCCGGTAAGACTCCAGTGAGTTTCCGTTACACAGATTCCCGTAAGGCTCCAGTGAGTTTCCGTCACCCAGATTCCTGTAAGGCTCCAGTGAGTTTCCGTTACACAGATTCCTGTAAGGCTCCAGTGAGTTTCCGTCACCCAGATTCCTGTAAGGCTCCAGTGAGTTTCCGTTACACAGATTTCTGTAAGGCTCCAGTGAGTTTCAGTTACCCAGATTCCTGTAAGGCTCCAGCGAGTTTCCGTTACCCAGATTCCTGTAAGGCTCCAGTGAGTTTCAGTAACACAGATTCCTATAAGGCTCCAGTGAGTTTCAGTTACACAGATTCCTGTAAGGCTCCAGTGAGTTTCCGTAACCCAGATTCCCGTAAGGCTCCAGTGAGTTTCCGTAACCCAGATTCCCGTAAGGCTCCAGTGAGTTTCAGTTACTCAGATTCCTGTAAGGCTCCAGTGAGTTTCCGTTACACAGATTCCTGTAAGGCTCCAGTGAGTTTCCGTTACCCAGATTCCTAAGAGGTTCCATTTGGGTTTCCGTTATCCTCTACTTTTAGTTGGTTTCAGTTATTTACTTAATTCCATTAGATTTCTCCCTCGACCGTTACGGACACAACGACTGGGCAGCTGTCTACCTTGGCAAAATTTCCTCAACTCCATCATTCCCTAGTGTCAGTGGTATTTTAAAAAAAAAATGGATTAAAGTCCTCCGATTGCCAGTCGAATTGCCCCGGTTACAAATTGCCAAAACAAATTTAGTCAAATTGCCCCAGGGCTGGTCAAAATGCCCCAGTATATTTAAACTGATTAAATATAGGCCATAAATGCATAGTTTTGTCAACTTTGATATTAGGTTCTTCATATAAACGTATATACATAGTCATGAGTTTACTATGGAACATTTATCAGAAACATTAGGCGTACTTCCTAATAGCTTTTACATGAAGAACATAATACCAAACTTGACAAAAACTATGACTATAACTTTCTAGCGCCTAACAGGCAGCTTGGGTCATCCGGGGTAATAATGTGTTAGCGCTATGAGCATACCTAGTGTGGAGTTTGGCGCTATATAAATGGACACATTATTATATATTTAATCATTTTCAATAAATTTAACTGGTACCCATGAGATATATATTATCAAAATCACATGAGCTTGAAAATGTTTCGCTATAACGTTCTTTTCAGTTTGGAGCCTTAAATGCTGCAGTCTACCTGAAACATTGCCGAATACAACGGCAAATCATGAAGTACTTGTTGCTTTCATAGTTTTCCGTTTGTCCAATTACGTGCAGTGGGCATCAGACTCGCTATTTGTCAGTAGTGTGTGCCGTGAAAGTTGTTCTGTATTCTCATTGGCTGATAAGATGTCATTCTAAGGCTATGACCGAGTACCATAACTATTTCCATAACCAAACACTGGGGAAACACACGTTGTCCTGACTAGTATTCTATAATTCACCAGTTTTCGGGGAATAACCTATCTGTGTCGCGAATATTATCTCTGGGAATCTTGTATGGAGACTTGATACAATATCAATGAGAACTAGGATCCTAATTTTTTTCAACAAAATAATTCCAGTGTCATTTTTGTAGGAGATAATTTTTATTTTCCCCCGTGTGAAGCATAATTATTTTGTTTTTACATCCCAGACACCCTACAGTCACCCATTTGACACAAAAGGAACTGCAATCACATTTCATTCACAAAAAAATATTCTTAGGGACTGGTCATATATTTATATGGGTGGATTTGCTGGTTGGAACTGTATTACATTTTGCTGACAAATAGTATTCTTGTTAAATGATGTGGTATATTTTTGAATTTATTTTGACCTCAAGCAGGCCTCCGTTTCGCTTGATTCTTCTTCTTCATCTTCAATGGAAGATTGTCTTGCAAGATGTAAAATCGGATCGTATTCATACGGTCTAACATCCATTTCAGAAATGACATCAGGAACATCTATTACTGCTTCAAAATCCATGGACACTGTTAAGTTTTGAGGTAAAATCAAAGAGGAAGCCATCAGTAACAGGTACATGTGCTCATTAACTGTCGGGTGTTTCCGTAATATGCGGAAATACGAGTACGTTTTTTTGTGTTTTTATTGCTATTTTACATATATTTGCTCAATTTTAATCACGGAAGGTTAGTTTTAAAATATCCTTTACAACATATCAAAAGTTTTGTTTTCGTTCGTATTCCCCTTTAAATCCGTTCGGCCGTCTCGCGTTTCACTGGACGGTCATAGGTCGCTCAAAGGTTAGCCGACGCGACCTTCTATTAGGGGTTGTTAGACTCAATGTAGCAGCGTAAAGGATAATACTAAGCCAAAGTTACTTAGACTGATTTCTTAGTAATTTATAATTTTGCGTAAGTTTACCAAATAAAACGTAAAGGAGACTGAGTAGAATCTTAAAGGTCACATGCAACGTAAAACACAACTTTGCAGATTCTGATACCTTTCGGTATGGACTTACCGAAACAAATCATCAAAAATGCAAATTCAACTTATAAAGTTGAAAAATAACGCGATGAAAAAAAACCGCGCGAAATCGGAGTTCAAACGATTCACTAATTTTTCCCGAGCGCTTGGGGGAATTGAAGTGGTTTCAACAGCTGGGCTGCGCTCATAGCACATGCGCAGTGAAATAGGTTCACGCAGCTTGGAAGCGGATTGTCGGGTGAATACTCGGTGAAGGCTTTGCTGTGAGCTATTTTTCTAATGTTTTGTTGATATTTCACAGGCGCGAGCTTTTTATATGTTATGACAGTAGATTACTGTTTTAACTGTTTATATAATTTCATTTGTCTATTTCACCACACGTTCTTCTTACCGAGTCACTTTCTCAGTTCGATACTCAAAAGCAATGCCATTATTTAGCATTGACAGAATTTCTAACTGTGATATAGATATGTCGTTGTCACAGACAAAACTCAATGTCTGTTTTATTGACACCTATTTTGTCTGCCTGCCCGTCTGCTAATGACAATATTCAATACACAACTTCGATCACTGACCACATGCAATTTGAACTTAACACCTATCAGGCTATACACCATAAACAAAATGTATTAATTTATGGCCCGAGTTCGGTCTCTGTCACATTATGTAATCACACAGACAGGCAGGTGTTATACTTGAACACATGACATGTTATGATGTCTGTTGATTGCAAAATGTTATACACAAAAAATGAGCATGTATTTACAAAACCCAACATCTCTAAATATACACACACAATGAGCCGTGATCGAGGGCATCGGCAAATGGACCAGCCGTTACACCTCAGTGCACACCCACCCGCTCTGACTGGGTTCGGTATCGCGGCTGCTTCGTT